TCTGTTCATTTAACAGAAATTTTCTAGTTTGATTAGTGTAAAGTATCGGTCAATCTCCAACGCCTTCTCTCGGTTTACTGCCTAGGTGATTTAAAGAAGGAGATCGTTTTAGCCTTTTCGCCTCATAGGCTCAAGGCTGGAAGGCAAGTGTAACGTATCGGTCAATCTCCGACGCCCTCTCTCGGTTTACTGCCTGGGTGATTCAAAGAAGGGGATTGCTTTAGCCTTTTCGCCTCATAGGCTCAAGGCTGGAAGGCAAGTGTAACGTAGCAGTCATTCTCCGACTAACGGGTTTCGATCCCAGTCGGGGCACGATCCTACATCCTCCCTGGTGGTAAGCCGACTTGGCTCTCGGTCGGCTCTTTCTTGATTGGTCACTCGGTTAACGCCCGAGTGGAGGCTCGCCGCAAATTAGCTCGACCATAACCCGACTACCCCCTCGACCATAACCCGACTACCCCCTCGACCATAATCCGACTACCAACTCGGCCAAAATCCGATCTGACCCCTCTACATGGGTGCACTCGGTCAGAATCTGACTTGTGTGCTCCAACTCGGCCAAAATCCGATCTGACCCTCTCACATAGATACTGATCCGATATCAGGGACAAAATCTCATCTTTAATGACAAAATATTCTCTAGATTAGACGGTTGAAGAAATCCCTACATTCTCGGGGCCCAGGAGGCCCGTCAGCAAGAAACTATAAAGCCAAAAATCCTAGAGTTGAGAAGGCAGATTACACTTTTGAATGCTCTGGCTCTAAAGCATGATCTAGGAAAAAACCCTAGTCCACCCTTTGGCCGGAACAAAAATAAAATAATTTAAAAATTTTGATTAGTTATCAATATAAAAAATTTTACATTGACATGTATAAATGATTAACTCTATATTTATTATTATTATTTTCCTCTGAGTGGCTACATATATTATTTATCTTTACAGAATGGTGAATAGTGAGTGCATATTCTTTTCTACAATATTATAGGGTTGGAATCTGGTTGAACACAAAAAGGTAAGAAGCCGTAATCGAAAGAAGAAATTTAAGATTTAACAATTGGGCAGAGGTGAGACGTGTGGCTTAGGGGAGAGTATGGGTTTTAGAAGATAGAATGGAGAGTGGCATGGCATTGGCATCATTGCATGAACAATGAACATGGTCGATGCCAACAAAGGCACAAAAATATACTTATCTCTCTATTCAAGGTACCCTAAAGAGACGCTGCTCATTTATTTTTGCTTCTACTTTAATCCCCACTTTGGTTAACCAAAACCATATGACTCAGAATAAAAAGCACCTTAGCAAAAATATTGGAATTGGTTCTTGCCATTTGCTGCATGCACTCAAAGAATTTTATTCTACTTTAACATTCTGTAAATCCTAAAAGATTGATCCTAATTTGGGTAACTTCATATTCCAGGTACGTAATTAAATAAGGTTCGTGGTTGCACTTGCACCCCATACCTTTTTCCTTTTTTCTAATATCACGCGACTTCAACTTCACCATTCATTCTTTTATATCCAATGGAATATAACACCAATGAGACATAACCGCTTAATATAATTGATAATCAGTTTTAAGTCTCTATATATTTTTAATCTTAAAACTTATGGTATTTTCCGTTGTTAAATTTTTTTAGGAACATTTGATGAGACTAAAATAAGAGGTTCTATTCTAGTATCCTATGGAACAACCTTTACATATTCGGTTGTTCAAATTCTTATACATATATTGTTGTATATATATTTATGATTTACTTGATAATCTTAGTTAATTTATGTTTTTAATTGTGAATAATTGAGCTGTAAAATATGATGACCTAATTGATCGTTATAATAAGATTTTTTTTTCACTTTCTCAACATAAAAATAAAAATATAGAAAAGTGATAATGCAAATTTTTCATAAATAAACAATATTCTAAAATAATTTATTAAAACTCGTAATTATTTATTAGAAATAACCTTTTAATATGTGAAATAAATGTACATGTTAAATTCATAGTTACTTACTAAAATTTACTTCAATTTAATATATATTTTAAATAAATAAATATATATATATATATATATATATATATGATGTGAAATATATATATATATATATATATATATAAATATGTAGGTTATAGATATTTTAATTTAGCGTTACTATAGATCAATTCAGGACACGGAGATTAATTAAAATCCATCAATAAACCCTAAACCAATATAGATACGTTTTTTTTTTCTTTTATAATTTGTAACAGTCATGAGTCTCATGACCAACACTATTTAATATTCTTTTAAAGAAGAAAAATAATCTTACAAGTAACATGGACCTAGGCGATACTAATTCATAAACTACTATTAGCTTACCAAAAAAGTACCAACAAATTAGCTTGCTTCAAAGTTCGGAATTTGAAACCAATCATTACATTAAGCTTGGAACTTCCTCTAAATTCCTAAGTTAATTATTTATAATATTTCATTTGTTTTTTATTTATATATTTTGAAAGATAGTATAAAGAGTTAAGCATATTTTCAATTTATACAAATATAGTTAAATTTCATTAATTTTTTTTTATTTTAACCTTAATAAATTTTAAATATTTTGAAATCAATCCATATCACTATTTACTCATATTTTAGATTAAAAATATATTTTATTCTAATAAATAGATTAAAATATATAATTAATATCTTTATTTATATTAAAAGTAGAGATAAAGATATTATTCAATTATTTTTAACTAAAATTTTTCTTATAAAAATGAAGAGATTAAAAAATATAGGGAAGGAAATTATGACATTAATAATATATACTCTTAACTCTGAGATTATTAGTGTGCAATAACTTAGTGGTTGAGCTTGGCTAATGGCTACGGGATTTTGCCACACATACAAGGCAAAGAATCCATTTTACGTCATTATTTGGCCTTGCGCTATCATTCTTTTATTAAGACAAACATTAACAACACTTTTCAAACTATTTACAAAATTCACACGATTTAATGTGATATGCATTAATGCTTTGTTTGGTGTGGGGAAATAGAAAGGAATGAGAATACTCCATCCATTTTAAATTATTTCTTACAAAAAAAAATCCTAAAATATTTGTTATTTTAACTTTTCAAGACAATACTTTTCTCTGTTTCAAAACTTGTGTATTTTTAAGATTTTCAATATATTTTTATGTAATTATTTTCAATTTTTGTGTTGTGATGCATTGTTTTTAACCAAATAAAAATTAAATAAGATTAATTTAGTAAATTATCATTTTTTATAATTTTTTTTTCCCGTCTTCGTAAAACACTCATAGATATTTGAGAATTATTTAAAGACGGATGGAGTATGAAATAAAATATATAGAACATGTACGTGGTTTAATAGCTAAACAGGTTCCGGCCATTACACAATTTCATTAAACTTAATAGAATCAATCGCCAACATTTTGATTGGGAGTTGGGACTTTTGTGTCATGTCTTTCTCCAAAAAATTGGACTTATGTTATGATAAAATATTTGGGGATGGAACTTTATTGTTAAAAATGATTTATTTGCTGGAACAAATAAAAAAATTATCCAAGGCTGAGCGTGTAATTCGCATAGAAGCTATTAAACAGAGAGCACATGAAATTATGAAGCCAGTTTGCAAAAAGATAAGTACAATGAAACCATCAAATGTGTACGTCAGGGACCACGCAGAATCCAAGGAACAAACTAAAGACCAAGAATCTTAAGAAGCAATTTTATTAAGTAAGAGCAACACTTTGGTCCCCTACAGTGACGATTTAGAATCATCTCTTTCTATTACGTATTACCCACTCTGTTCAAGCAAAGCAAATGGGGGATGCCTTAGTTATTTTTAGAAACAGTTAAATTCTTTGTAAAAGGGTCTCCAATGCAAGAGAATCAGACTAATCAAGACTCGATACAAGATCGAATCAATATAATTTATTGTTGTACTATATCAATCTTAACAGTATCTATGATTAAATTGTAAAATAAAAGAATAACAAAAATTAAATTAAAATATATTTCACAATAATTAAAATCACTATTAGAAATATAATATCTTATTAAACTAAATGTTATCCATTGAATATTTTCTAATTATTAATATATATTTATTAAAAATTATACTTTTTAAAATACATAGCCTTTAAACCGTATCGAGAGTATAAGACGACTCAAAATATAATATAAATCCGTCTTTAAATTATAACAAGTCTGATTTTTAAAACTTGAACCCAAAAAAATCTTGAGTAAAGCTTGATTGAAGAAACAGCCAGATCTTACACACCCCAAACAGCTAAAACATCACTTTATAGGTCTTGGTTTTTCTTTGTTAAACTCTAGTATCTCATCCTACAAAATCCTTTAAAATCTATCAAACTTGCATTAAATTTTAAATTTTTAACTTACAAACTTTAAAAATTATTTCACTCTTTAATTCAGCATAAATCTTCAAATATTTGAATTAAAATATAAAAACAGAAGGTCTAAGTAGAAAAAAGTTTGGAAAAAGGACCAATATTATTTTATTTTAAAAACAGTGTTAATTGACTTTAAAAGTAATAAAGAACTAAAATCACACAAAATCTTAACTAAAAAAGGCTAAACTGATTTAACTACTTTAAAGTGAAAATGTTTCATTTTAAAGAATAAAATAAAATAATAACCATTGTTTAAAAATTAAAAACATATTATAATTAATTTTAAATTTTATTATACTTGTATTTATTTTAATCACAATTCTAAATTGTTGTTTTTTTAAATAACTATTGTAAATATACTTTATTCTTTAAAGTAAATAATCCCTTCATTATAATCCGTAATTAAACTATTCAAATGTTGCAGAATACATATAAATTAATCCTTTTATTTTTCGAGAACATCTAACTCATTTAAATCAATTTTGATTTTATTATGCATTAAGTTCTATGTACCAAAAAAAATTCCATTCGAACCCAATTTATTCCACTCTTATTCCATGTGCTAAACAAAAGGAAAAACCTAATAGCCTCAACTTTCTTTCGTTTTTATTAATCTAAAGCCACATCAGCTTGAGCAACTACTCAACTCTTGCATCAGTCAACTCCATGTAACACAGGCATACAAGTCCCCAAAAAGACAATAAAGCAAGATAGATAAACAAGATACTACAATGCACAAGTTCTACATACATGACCCTTATACAACGTTTCGCCATGAAATTGGAAAATACTGTACAGTAAGAGATGTTTCTCTGCCACTAATTAACCCTACAACTAAGTATGTAGAAAATCACAAGAAGACCCCTTCCTGCAATGTCCACTCTCATGATACTTGCAGACTCCTCTTTGTCCCCCAAAAGGAGGCCTCGAAGAACCTCCTCTGCCTCCACCGCCAAATGATGACTGTCTGTTGGGAAACCTGTCTCTACCATGCATACCACGATCGCCTTGGTTGGGAAACCTGTCTCCATTATGACCTTGCTCATTTCCCCACATGCCTGGATTCCCGGCCGGTGCGGCCCAACCAGGATTGGCACTACCAGGTGCTAACCCCTGACCAGGCCCGGCCCAACCTGCATTTGCATTTACATGGGAACGTCCTTGAGCCGGTCCAACCCAGCCAACTCCATTCACTGGAGGTAGCCCCTGACTAGGAGCAGCCCATCCTGGATTTGAATTTCCAGGTGGCGGCACCTGTGGAGGTATCCAGTTTACGTTCATATTGGGAGGAACAACCCCACTCCAATTCATATTCTGATTTCCTGGCATGCCTATGCCCCAAGGCATATTGGGTGGAGCTGCAGACGGAGCTGTAATGTTTAACTGACTACTTGAAGCTGGTGGTCTCCAAGGCTCAGGTGTAGTCATGCCCATAAATCCAGGTGTGGGTAAACTCCCAGTTGGATTTCCAGTACTAAATGCTGCAGTGTTCTGGACAGACGAAGGATCACCCCAGGGGCCATGGGAAGCTGGCTGGGCAGGCATAGTAGCAGGATTATTTGGTTCTATCCTTTGAGATAATGTACCTCCCCAGGCCTGTGATTCTGGCTTCGAAACCGCTGTGGAACCCCACCCTTGCCCTTGAGCTTCATGAGAGTTGTGGCCACTCATAACCTGATTCTGCATATTTGCACCTGCCATTTTCATGTCAACCACTGAAGCTAGAACAGGTGCCATTGCTGTTGCTTGAGGATGTAACTGATTAGAATCTGTAGAAGCTGAAATAATACTAGGTTGTGAATTTGAGCCTTTTTCAGCATTTTGTACGGCATGCTCTGGGTGCACTACCACAGAGGCCTGCAAACCTCCATGATTGCCTGGAAATGGATTTCCTATGAGAGACCCAGGCAACTGGACAGGTGTTGGTGACCATTTATTCTCAAAAGCCTGTCCCTTATTCCCACCAGGAGTAGTCTGGGGAGTAGGTGAAGGAAGATTTGTTGTTTCATTTCTAACACCAGCATCAGAACCCCAGCCATTTGCAGGGTTCTTGGGGACCTCAACTGCCAATGGAGAAGGTCTATTTGCTAAAGAATTCATATTATCTTTAGATCTCCAACTGACTCCTGTGGTTTGTCCCGGAGAACCCAGAGTACTATGTGAATTCCAAGATCCACTATTTTGATCAAATGTTTGTCTTTCTCCAACTTGACCTTCTATACCTTGTTGGACAGACTTCCTAGAGTGCGAGGATGGGTAATGTAAATCATGAACAGCTTGAGCCTTATCCACCATCGATGGTTCCTTAGAAAAATTCCCTGCTAAGGCATCTTTTAGAAGTATAGAATCATCTTGCTTCTCAGTGGTTTTCCAAATCCTCAAATCAGCAGGGAAGTATCCTGTGTTACTCCATTTGCGTAGCTGCACCATAGAAAATGGTCCCTGAACTTTTCCGGATGGATCCTGGTAATGCCACATCTTTTCGGTTTCATTAATTTTCAGAGCTGGAGGAGTTATTCCGGCAGAAGATGGTGCTGCAGAAGCTTCTAATACACCAGTAGAGAAAGGCTCGGATGTTACCAATGGTTGGGTAATTTTAGCACCACTTTCCAAGGAAAGCTTTTGCCTCTCCCAGCTATTAGATAGTTGGGATTCCCTATCTCTTCCCTGGAGCAATTGAGCATCATGAAGTACCTCATTAGCATTAGAAGCATTGTCACCTTTGATTGGAAATCCCTTATTAGATAAATTTCTGCTGAGTTCAGGATTCATATTAGAATAATTCCTCGTTCCACCCCAAGAATCAATTGGAATAGAACCACTTCTAGGAGAAACAATATCTCTCCCCCTCCTTCCAAAGGCAGTAGACCCTCTAGGTCTCATGTAATTTTCTGCAGGCAAAGAAATGAAATTATCACAAAATGTTAGAAAAAGAAGAAACATGGACAAATTGCACTTTTAGTCACTGTAATATCCGATTTACAGTTTTGTCCCCCCAATTTTTTAATTCCACAATTTTATAAAATTTGAAACTTTGGTCTAATTGTGAAATGTTCATTCATGCTAAAATTATAACATTGACTATGACCTAATAACTAATATTTAATAATACTTAGACTAAATTGCACTTTTGATTCTCTTTTTCATCGTTTTATATCATTTTACCACTTTAATGGAAAAAAAATGGGAACAAAAAGTGTAATTTAGCCTAAATATTATTAAACATTAATTGTCATGTCCATCTACTTAATGTCTAGTCATGGTTGACCTTATAATTTAAGGGTTCAATGGATGCAAATTCAATTGTTCAACTAAATTTGCAGATTTTACAAAATTAAGGGACTAAAACCCATAATTAAAAATTGGAACACTAATATCACGGATTAGATATTGTAAAGGGCTAAAAAGTGCAATTTAACAAAAAAAAAATGAGATTACAAGTTCAAACTGCATTAACACTACCTTGTCTTTTATCATCCATTTCATCTTCGTCTTCTTCAGACTCGTAACTTGGATCCATGTTTGGATCCACATGTATTTCTGGAATTTCCTCCAACCTCCGTTGTCGTTCTTCAGGGGTTTTCAAAAGCTGCAACTTCTCTACACATTCTCTGAGCGTGAGAAGGAGTGAAGGATCAACACAAAACAGGACTCGAAATTTTTTTGCTAATTTCAAATAATCACAAAAATTTGTGGGATAAAAAATAATGATAACCAGATTATAAACTATCAGGGGGCACCAAAACATTTTCCTATAGAAAAAAAAAATTAAGATTATTATCCATTTCAATGAAGTGGAGTTAGATAACATGAAAAGACAATGAAAATCCTTTAATATGTATAGAAACTGTTAAATAATCACTACACAGGACTCAAACATTGCCAGATATTAATTTCCAAAGCATTTTGTCCAACCACCTATTTATCTGAATATGATATGAACCCAGAGCACATTTAAAACTTCATATAGAATATATTAATCACCTTTATGTATTTGTTTATTTATTTTGGTCACAGTACATTAGAAAGTAAAGGCCCCCAAGCTGTACAAGGAAGCTAATAATTTATAATTCAGAGATTAACTTTACCATGACTAGAAACCTCGTAGATACAACAAAAAATAAAATAATAAATAAATAAGATCAAGGTAAAGGGATGAATTATTAGAAATTGACACACTACAGACATCGGACTAACACTATATTATTTGTTCAATAAGTGAACAACTTATAGGAAACGTATTTATAACATATTTGAGTAAGGGGTGTGTGCCAAACTCAACATCCTCATATTTCACATGTTAAAACCAGCATACAAATTTTTAAATTTTCATATATCTCATTCTCGATCACAAATATAAGTTCCCAAGTACTTAGGAAATCACAATGTACACTAACAGACACCTTTAAAAGATTTTCTTCATTCAAACAAGATTAAATTTTAAGAATTATCAATTCCAAATTATAAGGACCCAAGGAAAAAAACAAAAATGATAAAAGGGATCACCAAAAACAGACCACGGATTTCTATCTCCATGTCCTGATAATGTCATAGATGGATGTTATAAACAAGACTAAAAAGTGAACATTATATTGGAGGAAAACAAATCAAGCAATGACACAAGTCAAATTACATCAAGGAAATGAAAATTCAAAAGGCAGCAAAATACTGCCAGATATATCATATTTGAATTTTTCTTCAGAGAAAAAGGATATTCTTTTCTGCGTCCTTTCTCACTAGCTCTATCACGGAGGTGACTCAGCCGCACTATCTCTGTTTCTAGCCACTGAAGTAGGAAAAAAAAAATTCAATTAGATTACAAACACCAGAAAACATATTTTAAATTCACAGATAAAATGATATCTAAAAGACAATAAATCATTAGGAAATAGAATAAGGACTTAATGAAAATAAACCAAGAATTCAAATTGACAGTTTAAACTAATTGACAATCAGTAGACTGCCAAAGTAATCCTTTGTTGACTTCCAATTTGAATATGTTGGTCTTATTTAAAAGAATTAATATCATGAATAAGAGTTTCCTGAATGCCATTACTAGTCCCCGAAAGATTTAAGCTTGAGATGTTCTGAGAAATTTTAACCACAGAAAGAATATCATGTTCCTTTTCCTTCTCCTTCACGTGATCAATGCAAAGGTGCAAACTGAATGATGTAAACAGAGACACGATATGATAATTCTCGAGATAGTTGTTAAATAGGAGCAGAATCCCCATCAATGTAATTTCCAAAAACATATCTACTAAAACTTGACCAATGATAAAACATTTGTCAATTGAAGGTAATTTTCTTTAATGCATCAATAAAATCACAGTAACAAGGACAAACTGAGGAATTAGGAATTTTAGAAAGATGTGTGAACAACAAGAGCATGCTTCACAAGGGCCAATTAAAGGTACAGAAAAACAACTCACATCTTTTACTCTAACTGCCTGAAGCACCAATGCTTTGTCTTGAATGTCACCCTACAAGCACAAATTTGTGTCCTCAGTACAAAGCATAACATCTGATGGCCTAAAGTGAGTTTATTAAACATAAAATTACCACAGTTAGCCGATTTATGAGGCCACACTTTATGCTTTGGCGAAGACGCTTGCATTCATCCTAACAAAAAACAATCAATATCTTAAGGAAGGAAATACATTAATCTAAGCATCAGTTTAAATTGTAAAAATTATACATTCTGAGAAGATATAAAATACAGAAATAATTTATTCCCACCATCATATGGTTAAGAGTCAACTACCAAGTCAGTCATCCAAAGATTAGCGCATTACTATCACCTCACTAGTCATCTAAAGATTTTGGTCACCAAATTAGTCTCAAAAAATCTGAAACATCATCACATTTCTCCTTATGAAGGACTAAAACGATGACAAAAAAGGATGGGTTTAGTGTCCTTGCAGTCTATTTTTGACCAATTGAAGCAACCAGCAAGTATAGTTCGTTATCAAATGGAATATCACCCTTCATGCAATTAGGATGCACTAGAGTTTCAGATCTACAATAACCATTATAATCCCATGTTTTAAATTGGGTAAGATACTAGTTTTAAAATAAATTAATGTAAAAATCAACCGTAACTGGATATCATAAACAAAAAGGAGAGATAAAAATGCAGTCATTGAATCACCTCGGTGAACTCCTGATTTGAGATAATATCAATTGATACAATCTCTGTCTTGTTTAAATTTAAGATTTCTAGCAAAATATCTGTCATCCTTTTACCAACTTTATACGGCTCTGCTGCTTTGCATGTACCTGACCATGTAGATAATTAAAATCAAAACCCATAATCGAAGTTTATTTGTACATAACAATAGCATTAAAGTTGTTATCTAGATATTTACCTACAACCTGAACCAGCCTATACAAATCTTGCTTCTGACCACTACCAGAAATTCTTATTCTCACAAAAGAACCAACAACTTTATCATGAAACTTCTCTACATCTTCAAGTAGATCTTCCACCAAATTGCGTCTTAGATAAATTAAATTAATATTATGGTTATCAATGGCTGCATAATCATCAACATTAGTTTGAAGTCCTCTCTCATCACCCTTTTTACGATTTTTACGTCTCTTATCTTTGCCAGCTTTCATATATGAATTGGGATTGCCATCACCTTCCAAATGACTAATTTCAGTGTCAACAACACTTCCCTGCAGATCTTCAGCCTGAGAATCCTCTTTTAGAAAGAAATGGGATTCAAGAAGCTTTAACATTTCAAAATGCCCCACTCTTGGTTTACCAAACAGATTTTGAAGTCTTGCATCACAAATAATTTGACTTTTTCGGCGAGGATCTCGAAGCTTATTTCTTTTAATATACTCTAACAAAAGAGCCTGCACATCAAACTGTGACAAAACAGATTTGTCTCCATTTCTCATGTGCATAACAAACTCCAAAAGCTCTTTCGAAGCCCACTCAAAGCTGTCATCTCCAGATGGCCCATCAGCACCAACCATTGTCACTGCACTATTTGAATTTCCTTCTTTGGAGCGGGACTTTCCCCGTTTCTTGCCCTTTCTTCTTTTAGAACGGCTCAAATCTACATTCTCATAGGAGCTATCTGAATCTGATTCCTTATCATTACTGGCATCAAAAAGTTCATCTGGTGATTCCTCTTTAGAATGAAGCATATCAGATCCCTTCCAAGGGTTTTTAGCTTGAGTGATTTCATCAAATGTTAGAGATAGTTTCTCTTTTAGATCTATGTAGTAGTCCTTGAAGAGATACTCCCAGCTGTTTTTGTCATCAAAATCTATTTGTCCCTGCACCAAGCATGAAAAAATATTATTAGTAGCCAAAAAGAGGTGCCCCTGATTAATATCATTATAAGTTCATGCCCTCCACAATTTGTCTTTAAAATAGTCTATTTGTAAGGAATATGATGCTTGATAGTCATTGGTGTTTGTAGTAATTGTTGATGTGGAATAGTTTGATATGTAAAGAATATGATGCAGCATATTTGGATGTTAAAAACATAATGAAATTGAAAAACATTATAGTAATAATCAAGAATAAGAAGGAAGGGAAATAGCTATCACATCTTCATTATAATGTTTTTCAATACTGGTTTTTAATTCCTTTGGTTTTGTACTTTTGTTTTTCTGTCCACATTTCAGTAGCCTTTTTCTGCAATGACTGAAGGACAACCTTCCTCACATGAATCCAGGGCCGCTTCCAGTAGAACATCCCCAGGATACAAACACAACTGTTTGTAATTTTTGTGGGAAAATCACAAAGAGGAGAATAACTAGAGCCAAACAACACTTGAAGGGGGGAAAAGGGCAATTTGATCCTTGCCAAAAGCACCCAAAGGAAGTCAGTAAAGAACTTTGGGCATATCTAAATGACAAAAAAGAAGGAAGACAATGTTGATATTGCAAATATTAGAGAGATTTTTATTTGACTCCCATGAGATGTGATGAAAGTGAATATAATGAGTTTGAGGATTTCGTAACACCCAATAGTGTTGCCACTGCTGCAAGGAGAAAGATGTTCTAAAAGAAGGACCAATGTATCTATTTTGTAGGAAGCCAAAAGCTGCAATTAACAAGAAAAAGAAGGAGAAGTTGAGGCAGGCAAGCATAAATAGGCATGCGACAAAGAAGCAAATGCTAGGGTCTACGAATATATCACTCACTTTTGATACCAAGCTGGCCTACCATTCAACCTCGTTAAATTGACTAGCTTTCAAGAAATGATTGCAGTCATTGGGTCCAATTGACCACATTTTTCCATTCCTAACTATCATGATATTAGATTTCTACTCCTTAAAATAGGAGTTCAAATATGCTATAAAATTTGATGAAAGATCACAAGGGGCAATGAATTAAGCATGATCATTACACTATGTCAGATGCATGGACTAATCGGAAACAATGATGCTTCATTAAAGCAAGTACAAACACTGACTAAAGCATTGAACAAGGTGTCTAAAAGCCACTATAGCACATGAAATGCTCCAATTTTGGCCACTATTGCTGCCACGATAGCCTTTACAGAAAACCACTCCACCATTTGAACCTTGTAGCAGCCCAGGCCACTGTGACATCCCTATGGCACCACTATTGCACACTAAAGACTACTATGTTTGACTTTAATCCAACAAATTCACTTGTTTTCTCATGTTAACATGCAAGCCATGGAATGCTAAAAATTCTAATATGTAACCCAAGAGAAAAACAGGGTGAGAAGTTAGCAACAAATGAAGTAAATAATAATAATAATAAAAAACAATGGACCAATACCACTTTGAAACTACCTAAAGCACTGCAGATGGTTAAAGACTTTTCATTCCAAAACGCACATATCAGTATAATACAATAATTTTTAAATGACAAGTGGTAGGGAGGGATGTTGTACCACATTGTTTCCCTGCTCATTCTGTTCAATCAACATTACAGTTCTCATGCATGTCTCGCAAAAGCCTTTGTTTCCCCTGACACATAAGATAACCGCATCTTTGATGCAACCCTTGCACAAAGAAAACGTACATGTATAACACATATAGTGCGCATTCTTCTCACAGATGCTGCAAAGATGCCAACCTGGGATCATGAAGATCAAATATATGGAAAGTCAGATATGGTAAAGCAATGTATTGTGATGATTAAATTTTTGCAAGTTTGATACCTTGGCATCGAAAATAAATTCAATGATGCTCAGAACACAAGAAATAAAATCTAATTCCAATAACTGTTCCTGCTAAACAAGGCTATGCAAACAAGAGATAAAAAAAAAAAAAAAAGAAGGGGGAAAAGCATGAACTTTCATCAAAGTGCATTGAAGTTTAACACAATTGCACTTCACAAATAAAGCGCAATAATTAGTGAAATTTTCCATACAACTGATTGTACATGTAGTGATTTAAAATCTTTTTAACTTGTTCGGCAAATATATATTAAAAAAAAAATAAACTTTGACACAGCAGCACTCCTCTTAAAAATTGACAACGATAATAGTAAATATCAATCACCTATCCAACAATCATTCACCAAGATATTAGAATACATGCCAAGGTGACATCATGCCGCTATTAAAATAATGCACACAGTGAAACACAATTATAAGGAAGTTGAGGCATTATGATTTACTGGTAATAAATTCTTCAAAGGTTAATATATTTTAAAACATAGTTCAGTTGAGGAGATTCATACCCAAGATATCCAGTTCCCGTACCCATTCACATGAATAAAGTAAGGTAATTTCATGAATTACATTCCCTTGATCAAGTCACAAGCTATCACACTGAGCAATGAGCAAGTTAATATGGATGTGTGGTCAAACAAGAAATGACTAGATACAAAATGATTACATACAAGGATATATTGGTATGACACTTATGAAGGAAAAGATGATACAAAATCGACGAAAGTGGTTTGGACAAGTGCAGAGGTCACTAGACTAGAGACCCCGATGGGGAGAGTAGATCACATGATTTTTAGCCCAGTAAAGATGTAGAGAGACCAATAAGAACACTGGAGGAAATTACTAGAAGAGATTACATGGTAAATAATATCCTTGAAGAATTGGTGTTTAACTGAGCCCACTAGCGTTGTGTAATCCATGTACCAGTCTCACCTAGTGGGATAAGACAATAGCAAACTAGAGCCAAAAATAAGTGTAGCAAATATGAGAATGCAAAAGTCAAAGAGTGGACATACAAGAAAAGAAAAGATTGTGCTCAAATGTATGCATTAGACATTCCAATGCAAAAAGTGAATCAAATGGAAGATACTCACGCTAAAACAGGTAGAGGAAAACATTAAAAAATTGATTTTTGAAGCCTATATCATGGTAGTGCAACTAATGCACACGAAAAAAGCAGCTATTCTAGCCACTATTTGAATCCTATAGCAGCACAAGGCTGCTCCATTCCACTAATCCCGCGCTACTGACTACTATGTTGTGGACACCATAAAAACCTTGATGTTGCAGCCAAAGTTGCAGTCACGGACATTTTATAAAACCTTGACTTTAATTAATACACACTATCACTTTATTCATTAATCTGATGTGGCAATAAATTAGATTCCTATTGGGTGTATTGGGTGTTTGTGAAAATGTTTAAACTCGTCTTAAATACTTAGAAGCGTATTCACATCCAATAAGTCGTTGGTCCAATTGGTATCTGACTTGGTCCCCTTAACCAAGATTTCATGTTCAAGTTTCATATTTGGAAAAAAAACGTGGTTGGGAGGAAAGCCTCCATTAAAGATGACTAGTCAGATTTTTCAATGGAAATTAGTCATTGGAGAAGCTAGTAGATACTTCGTATCAATAAAATGGTTACCAAGCACAAGCAAAAGAAACATACTCACAACTTCCAAATCATAAGCATTACCTACATGTCAAGGATAAATATTCAAATTGGAACTGCAGTATTTAACTTAAAGAGTTCAAAGATTCACAAAGCTACTGCCTACAACACAGACATTGGCAAATCAAAGCAAACATTGAACTGACAAACCCTAATAAAAGCAATTTAACCGAGACATGCAGCATAAGGTACGAAACATACCGCAATTCCACTTTCCCTTGGCCCGAAAGAATGCCTCGTCACGATTAACGCAGGAAGGATGGTAAGCCTTGGGGCATCCCCTGTGTTCAACACCAAAGAAAAGGCAATGAATTTCCCCCTAAAAGCAATAGATACGATTCGAAAAGTAAATGCATGCAATTTGAGTTTCACCTGCGGTCACAGAGCACAAGGTCACCCCCGTCGAAGCAAATGAAACAAACGTCCTCTTCCATCTTTTTCCTGGATGCAACTCTCCCTGTAGCCTTAGCATTCTTCCCAGCGCCACGCTTCCTCTTCCCGCCACTCGCACTCTTCTCCTCCTTCTCCTCTGCGTCTTCTCCAATTGCCATTCCAGCATCACCATCAGCATCTTCTTCTTCACCTTGTTGCTGTTCTTCTTCCTCCTCTTCCTCTCCTTGTTGCTGTTCTTCTTCTTCTTCCTCCTCTTCCCCATGTCGGTGTTCTTCTTCTTCCTCCTCCTCTCCTTGTTGGTGTTCTTCCTCTTCTCCCTCCTCCTCTTCCATCAAAGCATCTTCATTCACCTTTTCCTCCCCAATTTCGTCCTCTTCCGCATGAATTGTGAAATTCGCTTCCTCTTCCACGTTCCCCGCCTCCAAAGCCACGTCATCCGCATCGGTTCCGTCATTCCCCTTCTCCTCAATCATGTCGTCAGCCGGTACGGCGGCCACCGTCTCCGTCATTGAATCGGTTTCAAGCGTGGTCGCGGTAGCCACTTCAGCGACAAGCGCGGGGGCTGGGCTAAAGTCCCCTGAGGCGAGGGGTAGAGGGTCTCCGGCGGCGGCGTAGGGGAGGTCGGCGAGACATTGTGCATCGGAGTGTTGGTGAAGCGGTGGAGCTTGGTCGTCCTCGACGTCCATGGAGAATAGGGATTGCGAAATCCCTAGGAAGGAAAATTGAAATGTCGAATTTAGGAGAAATTAATAAAACGAAAGGAAGAGAGGGGAATTGTGTGTGGGGTATTATAAAAGAAGGTAACGGAATGGGAATGGGACGGAGGAGGGGTGCGAATGCGAAGTGGCTCCTGTGTTGTGTTCTGTGTCGTGTGTTGCCGCAAAAGACCAAATTATCCTTCCCTGTTAGTCAGAATCACCGTGTAGGCATGTAATGTTGATGTTGCGTTGTGCCCTAGCATTAGCAAATAGCAATACCATTCACCTCACACCTCCATCTTCGGCCCGATATAACGTGGCCTGGGCTTCCTCTTTACGCACCACACTACCTTATCTTTGGATCGCTCCTACACAATCAAACACAATCATTATTTTAATCATTTATAAAACAATAAAACATATATTTCTTTCCATGATGGACGGAGCAGACTAGAGTGTAATTTTTTATATGTTATTCACTTTTATCTATTATTCAAAAAATATATATATGAATGAAAATTCATGTGGCCTAATTATTGAGGGAAAAGATAATATAAAAGAAAATTATATAGAAGATAGAAGATTAACAAGAAGATAAAAGGAAAGAAATAAAGCATGGAAGGAGAAAATAAACCAGATCAATGGTTTTTTTAAGGCAATTTTTATTAGGTCAAAATAGTAATTTTATAATTTCAAATTTTCATCTTGTGCATACCAAATGGGAGGGGAAGAAAAGGAACAAGGGTGTGTCAGCAAAACTGTGAAAATTAAGGGAGTGTATTATTATTGATTAGGACTTTAAAAGATTTTAAATTACTTTTTTCTTGTAAAAAGCATTTCTGGTATTGGGTCAAGATTTTGTTTTAATATAAAAAAGAAGCTTTTAAATATTTAATTAAGATAATTATATTTTAAAATATATATATATATATATATCAAAATTATATGATATTTAATTGAAACTTTTTTCACTTGAAAATAAGTATTATAGTATTCAAAAATATATAAACTTTGATAGATTTTTTATACGATAGATTTTGTGAAATTTTTTAGTAGATTTTATACATAAAACTTAAAATCTTAAAATTTTGTAATATAGTTTTCATTCATCCAACAATCAAATTTAAAATCTTCAAATTTTTTGTGATTTTTTCCTTTTTTTGTGTTCTCTTATCTCTTTCTATCTCTTTTCCTTTTTCCTTCTCAATTATTTATCCTTCTCTATTATTTTTCATGTATTTTTTTATCTATCAATATTTACATCAAATTTATCAATAATTTGTTTTGTTCTTTTGACTTATAAATATTTTAAAAAATATATTAAATATTTAAAATCCGACTAATATTTATTTTTTATAAAATATGATATTAAAATTTTAAATATATATTAAAAAATAATTTATATATATATATATTAATAATTAAATTTCCTTATCAAAAACTATATTTGGATTAATTGTAGAGAATAGAACACAATGAATCAAAATATAATGGAACGGAATGGAACCGAATAGAATGAATTAAAAATATGATTCCATTATTTGAGTAATTTATAATAAAATGGGATGTAATTTTGGAAGATAAAAAAATGAAAAAGAATAAAAGAGAGATTAAAACCAACCTTATATTTGAGCCAATTTTTATAAAGATAAATAGTAATTTAAAATTTAAAAAAGTTTTATCCCTGCGCTTCAAATTGGAGGGAAATAAAAATGAAGAAAACAATAAAATGAAATACATTAGATTTCATCCTCTTTTATCTTCTACCATTCCCTTCTATCTCCATTTATATAAAACCAAACAATGAAATTTTATTATATCTATTCTTTCTCACTTCATTTCACTCTCTGCCACCAATTCCAACATATCTTATCAAAATAATATTTATTTATATAAAACAAACAAATCTTCCACTCATTTCATCCTCACAGGTTACCTCGTTTTCTATCAATCAAAACACATCATATCTATTTTCAAAAATACATGAATTTAATTAAAATATATTAATAAGATAAAATTATTTTATATTATAAACCATTCCTGAATAATCATATTTATTAAAAAATATGCTTAAAACTTTACTTTAAGAATGAATTAAAATCAAATTATATATTTATTTATTCATCATACAATATAGAGGTTGTGTTCCCACATATATATATATATATATATATGTATCTTCCTTTATCAAAAGGCCCGATTAGGTCTGATTATTGGTGAGTACGTGAATAAAAGGTGAGATTTTATTGATTTATTCTAATTTAATCTGTTGTGTCGAATTTATTCCTAATTATGTAATTTTATTAAATATTTAAAAAAATCTTATCCACCTTAAATAAAATTATCTTTAATAAAAGATATATTTTGTCAAATTTTACTCCTAATTATGTAACTTTACTAAATATTCAAAAAAAATCTTATCCACCTCAAATAAAATGACTTTTAGTAAAAGATATATGTGACTTTATTTAATAAATAAATAAATAAATAAATATTCTCCTTGGTATAACATTCTAAAATATTTTCACATTATCCTCCTTAATTTTTAATAAATATTTATGAATTTTATATTTTTTTTACAATAAGGTATAACTTTTTTTTTATTGAACCGAGATCAATTCCTTTAAAAGTAAAGTAATATTTTTAATCATGACTTAATGAAAGAGGGCAAGTGTTGAACTAATAAAATTTAGTTATAAATTTTATATTAAATTCAATTACTACTTTTCTTTGATTAATTACCAAATTTTCCATTAATTAATTAATCAATGCATAAATATATTTCAAAAACAATAAATATATAATGAGATATTTATTAATTTATTAAAATAATATTTCATTAATTAAATTAATTTTTAAATTTATTCCTATATCGTAAGTACAAATAACTATCAATGTTTTTAGGAATTTATTTTATTTAATGAGAGAGTTTTGAAATATTTTTTAACTTTTTATCTATTTAAATCTTTATGTATCATATATTAGCATAAAAAGGCATTTTGTGTCACTGTGTATTTTTTTTAAAAGTAAATGATAAAAATAATAAAAATTGAATATGTGTGAGTGATTAACAATGAGGTGTTAACATTTGTGAATAATTATTTTGATGGTGTGAAATGTTTAAAAATAAATTCATGGAGAATTAGAGAAAAACAATATTAAATTTTAAAAGTGTGAGAGATAGAAAAATGTTTTAAAATTAAGACTCATGAATAAAACAGTCAACAAAATATATACACCAAAAATACATACATCTTTATTATTATTAAGTATAACGACCCGGCAGGCCATTACTCTCACAACTCAGCACACCGGAAACACTAGGCAGAGTAGAACGAGTATATAAATATAGTGTCTAGAATATAAATATATACATATGTCCCAAGTCCGACTAGAGTTAGTGTATGCAATACAAGGATTACATCAAAAGTCATTATGCCCAGTGACCAACACAAACAAAACATCCATAGAAATCAGCTCCATCTATCCGCTGCCAACTCATCACTATCCACCACCTATCTCTGCTCTGCTCCCATACATAGTACGATCATAGCAGTCCAACCACATGGAAACACAAAGGGTAAGCTAGTATAAAGAGAACAACATATGGGCAATTTTAAACAATAACAACAATTACAATCATCAACAATTCATCAATAAACATCCAATCAGTTATTCCCACACAGATTTACCAATACACACAAAATGCGTCGTCACGCATATCACCTCGGAGATCTCCTACAACACCTCAGCCTTTCGGCCTACAACACCTCAGCCTTTCGGCCTACAACACCTCAGTCTTTCGGCCTACAACATCCAATAACAACACACAGTGCAACACACAACTGTTTAGTTTAACATATCAACTTACAACATTTCACAATAATGCAACTCGCATATCAACTTACAAAAATATGTACTAATATATCTCAACATCATCAACATTATTATCTACTTTGTATTCATTTATTTCGAGTCAACTTAGCATAAAACAACATTGCACAGTATAAAACACAAGAGGGCACCAGAGGGTCAGCGCGCCCGGCACAAGCATGCCCGCGCCCGGCGGGGACCCAGCCAGAGAGCTCAAGGCTCTCTCGCACTTGGCGCAATAGGTAATTGCGCCCAGCGCAAGCCAGTCAGAGACTCCCAGTAATTTTTCGCGCCCGGCGCTCCCAAACTCGCGCCCAGCGTGGGGAAGGCAGAGACCTCCCTTGGTCTCGTGCCCGGCGCAATTTGAATTGCGCCCGGCGCCTCCCATGGCAGAGACTCCAAGAGTCCCCGCGCCCAGCGCGGCCAAAGTCGCGCTTAGCGTCATGCCAGAAACCCCAAAAATCAATTTTCAACTGACATCGCGCCCAGCGTGGCTCGACTCTCGCCCGGCGCGGGCCATCCAGAGGCTAACATCTCCAAGCCCGCCCGACGCACACATCCTTACGCCCGACGGCTTGCCTAAATGCTGCCCTCAGATGACCACGCGCCCGACACGAAGAACTACGCCCAGCGCGAGTTCAGCAGCAGACCTCATATTTTCGAAAATGCTCCAACAATCTGCAAAATAATCAGAAAACTTCACATGCAATCGGTTTAAAATACTATATTTTCATCCTAGAGTCCAAAAACACCACCTTTACACACATGCAACAACAAAATAAGTAGATCTCCAAATTTTCTTCAAAAACCAAAAACCCCCAAAGTTCCATTTTTTTTCAACCATCTCAACCCAGAATCATGAATCATCAGCAATCAAAAGGAGTTGCTAGACTCAGTCCAGCCAATACACAACAAAAATCTAGCTCCCCTTACCTCGGTTTGAAAAATCTGAGCTTCCGGGGCAAAAGAGAAGAAGAGGAAGAAGAGTTTGAACACCCACGGAAGGAGAAGAGTGAACTCCGAACACCAGCTATGCACCCTACTTACTCAGCTCTACCACCTTGAATCAGCCAAAAAGAAAAGTCCCCAGCAAAGAAGTGAGCAAAGAATGAGGGTTAGGGAATTAAAGGAAGGAAACAAATCTGTACGGGGTCTCACCAAAGCTTGAGCAACGAAGGAGGGGAAGATAAAGTTCCGAACACTCAACTAGCACCACCTGACTCTAGCTCAGCACCTATAGCCACCAAGGATCAAAGAAAAGAAAACAAGGCAAGGAGAGAATGAGTGAATGGAGAGGAAGAAAAGAGTGGAGGGAAAGTTGAGAGGGAAGAAAAGGGGTCTTACATTAAGTATAGACTGTTAGTATTTATAATTTTAAGTTAAATTTGATAATTTTAAAATAAATCATTAATAATTAAAAATAATCTTATGCCATAATATAAATAATTTTCCACAAATATAAAACATAATGCACTCCTATATTTTAATAGTTAGATTGCAGATGAAATATTTTTAAACACTTCTCTTTAACAAAAACGTTTTTAGTTACTCTTCTTAAAGAAAATGATTTTTAGGAAATTTTTAACTTTTAATCTGTTTCAATTATTTATCATATCTATTTCTAAGTTAAATTTAATAATTTTGAAATAAAATATCAATAATTAAAAATAATTTTATATCATAATATAATCCACATAGTTTTATATTTTTATTCTCTCTCAATGGTTAGGGTTAGAGTTTAAGTATGTTATAGCTACTCATCCTACATATATAATATTAATTTTATTTTTTTAGCTTTTGATTTTTTATTTTTAAATAATAAATCTAATGATCCAACACCAATTAATCCAATTAAAGTCTGGATTAAAGTCGGATCGAGTAAAAACAATTTTAAGAAAATCAAATTCATATGTATGTGTATATATATAGGATAAGATAATATCTTTGATAATCCTTTTGTTAATATTTGATAATCATGATCAGCTGATTAATTTGTTTTAGAAATTACAGTCTTTCCATTAGTAATATATATCGCACCATTAAGGTTACTCAGTCGACACTGATCAGGTTTCGCAGTTTACAATTACAAAAAGTTTCAGTTTTTTATTTTTTTATGAATAGAAAAAGTTGCAGTTAAATGCAACCATCTTTCAACTATAATTGTGCGGAAAACCTCTTGTGAACTTCTCAACTGTTTGCAAATAAAACTCCATAGTCATACATCTCAACCGTGAATTTAGTTACACAGATTTTATTTAATTGAATTCGGAGAAGCATTCAACTTGTGTAGTTAAATCCTTGAAGCTTCAATTGGTCTTCTACCTTGTTGGTAATACTGGAAATAGATCTCAGTATATTTTTTCACAGGTCTGTATAATGCTGGCCTTGACTCATTCACTAGCTTATCCAGTGGTTTAATCTCTTTTTCTGGATCTGGGGTACAGAACATTGCCACTGTGAGTCTTTCATTTTCTGCATTTATCACTGCCCTGTGTACTGGACTCCGGAAAATTCCATTGCTCAGTATCTGTGTAGCACATTCGAATGTTCCAAGTCAAATCCTATTTAATGACGAAAATTCTGATTGCATCTCAATAGTAATAATGAAAATTTTGATTGTATCTTACTAATCATATCACCAGTGATTGTTTTTATGATTTGCTGTAATAGTTAACTTTCCTAATTACAGTTATTAGAATGATAAGTTAGGCTTTCCTAATTACTGTAAATCAATTCGTTACAGCATATCGTGGAAACAAATCATTGCGCGTCGATATGATTAGAGATCCCGAAAATAAAGATACTGTAAGAATTTCTTGGTTAGTATCTGTTATGATGGACAAGCTTTGCTGTTGTATCAATCAACTCTATGGACAAGTTTGTTCTTTGATGATTATATAGAATAAGAAGTTTCAGAACCACTGGGGTTGGCCTATTGAAGTAGTATGGATGAGGTCATAGATTCTAACCTTAATGCGATCATTGTTCAAGAAGAAAAAGAATTAAGAAACTTCAGTGAGTACCTCCATTTGATCACCAACATTAATCAGGAGAGCATGAGGGACGATTGGAACTTTAAACCACTGGTCATCTTTGAGGACTTGGAGGCCTTCTTCTTGTTTGTCTTGCAACAGAAAAGTTATGACGGATCCATCCGCATGTGGCTTCAGGCCGAGAACATGATCAGGCATTGGACATGGAGGGTAGTAGTTGAATCTCAGAAACTTAACAGCTCTCTCACCACATTCATTTATGAAGCTATCCTCTTCCAAGTTCAGTGACTTTGCCATGGCCTTCAGAATTACTTCACTTAGAAGCTTTATGCTTTCGGTATACTGTAGGACAGTACTCCTGCATCAGCATTGAGACATCCACTGAGATTAAATAATACAATGTACATGTGCAATTGATAGAGTATCGAACACTTGTGTCACTAGCCCAAGAGAAATGAAGGCAATTGTTCATTCCTTTTCCATAATAATAATGTCATGCTCATGTCATATTTAGATATAGAATAGGTGTAATTTGACTGAACTTCTGAGTATTCATAGAGAGTTAAAATGAATAAATTTCTCCCCATAAGTTTAAAACAATTGATGCATATTAGTTTTTGAAGTAATTTGATGAAAGAACTTTAAAGAAAAAAGAAAGCTAAGGTGTATTAGTTGATTTTTTAAGTAATGAGAAATTTTTTCATTCATTTGATCTTCTCATTTTCTTTTCCTTTGTACTTATTGATAATTTTATTCGAAGTTATAACTTGTTTATGTATTTAAATTTCTAAAATGGATTCACTTCATGTAAAAGAACATTGAGAGTTATAGGTGAGAAGAATGTATACCTGAAATCAATGGGGTTTGGGGGCCAAAATTGGAACTTTCTCTGATCTTCAGGCTGCACCTTTATGTATACTCTGTCAGTCCAGTCAAGCCTTTGATTTTCTGAAAATATTATATCGTTGCCATATCCTTCAATATTGTTTGGTTCCCTTGCACATTTTTGCTTTTCTTCCTTTGGTAGTTGAAAGAATCGCTTTCCAATATCTCTCACTTGGTCCAGAAATGAGCTTTCTATTCCATGGTTTATTACCTGAATCACACAAAAAGTAACTGGGAATATGATCTGAAGTAGGCCCAACGTACCTTAAAAATATCTTTATTAATTAATAAATCTTGACTTAAATTTATTTTTAGTTATTCAAAAGTAAGATTTTTTTTTTTTTCATGTGACGCTTAATTGTGATAATATAAAATGGCATGGATCTAAAAAAAAGTGAAAGGGATGAGATTTATATAAAGGGGTACCTGAAAGCAGCCCCATGAATGGAGAGCATGGCGGAGCTTAGCAAGCTCTTGTTGTGCTGTGGAAGGAGATGAGAGGCGGTGAAGGTCGACTACAGGAATATTGTCGTCCTGGGATGGCACAAGAGCATCACGAAATCCAGCCCCTCCTTCGTCGTACATGTAATTTTTTGGCAGATTTTCAGGATTCAGCCTCAGTTCTTGGACAGGTTTACCAACTACAATCTCTTCCTTAGATGACTCTGCCATCACTTCAATTCAAGGAACACAAAGGTCAACGGTTACCTTTGCTAAGCCCACTTGCTTTTATGTTTGCTAATCAGATTGATGAGTCTGCACACCTATCGCTATTTTCTCACTAAAAGGACACATGTTGTTCCTAAAGAAATTAAAAACACAACATAAAAAATATCTCTTCTCTTCTTTCATTTTTCTAAATAAAATCAAGATTCTTCTATCACCCTATTTTTATTTCATTTTTATTTTCAATATACATCGAATGAATAATAAAAGCTAATGAGAAAATGTTCATATTTTTAATTTTAATTATTAATAAGTATTTATATCAAAGATTTATACTAAATAGATAGATTTTTTTTAAGTTTAAATTTTCTGCATTTTTTAAATATTATTATTCAAATCTCAATATTTTAGTTAAGTAAGTCAATTTGTCTATTAATTAGTAACAAATCTAAGATTTTTAGGCGGTTAGAGTAATTTATTTTAAAAAAAATAACTATTATTATTAAAGGGATTAAAACACTTTACATCTTTAATAGTTGTATACAAACAAGAGAATATAATTTAATTTTTTTAAAAAATTATGTGTAATTATTCAAAGAAAATATAACTTATTTTTTTATATTTAAGAGGTATAATGATTCACTAAAAAGTAAATTTTTTTTTATAAAATATATATATATATATAATAAAATCATAAATATTACATATATAAAATCGAAACAAACATTAAGAATAAAACATGAGTCAAAAAGGATCAAAATACTTATATATATATTGAAGAAGAAGAAAACTAATCAACAAAAGATAAAAATTGACAAATTTTTTTTAGAATAATGAGTACAAATTATAAATTTAAAAAGTAAAAAAAAAACATAAAATACATATTTATATTATGCGTCTTCTTCCAACCCAAATTGGTAGACAACGTTTATGAATACACGATTATGTAATAATAACCTCTCATTCTCCAAGCACCTGTTTTTGTTTAATGTCTGATTTCTTGGGCCATGGCTTTTGAGCGCTTTCATAAGACAAGTGACGCATGCATTAATCTAATGTCAAAAGCAAATAATTTGAGAAACAAATATAAAATCTAATGGATAATACGTGACGGAAAATCTACAAAGATATCCAACGCTGACGTTTATCCACTTAGATTATGTTTGAATATAAATATTAAAAATAAAATGAGATCAAATCAAAACAAATAAGTTATTTTATTTAGACATTTTTCTGATGAAGTAAAAATATTTTCATTACATGCATCAAGTTGGAGAAGGTAAAAAAATCTTTCATTTTATCTTATTTTAAATTAGCTATATAATGAAACTAGATATCAAATTATTCCATTCCGATTAATCCAAACGTAACCAAAATGCACAAGGCTGAGATCATTTTAAAAAATAAACGATCTATCAAGACTAACACGACATCATGTGAATTGTAGCACCCATTGCCATAGATTTTATAACATTTTGATTCTCTTTTGTTTAGCTAAATTCGGAGAAGCATAAAGCTTGGTGAGCAGTTAAATCTTTGAAGCTTCAATTGGTCTTATCCCTTGCTGGTAATACTGGTTATAGATCTCAGGATAGTTTTTCACGGGTCTGTATAACACTGGCCTTGACTCGTTCACTAGCTTATCTACCGGTTTAATCTCTTTTTCTGAATCCGGGGTGCAAAACATTGCCACTGTTAGTCTTTCCTTTTCAGCATCTATCACTGCCCTGTGTACTGGGCTCCAGAAAATTCCATTGCTCAGTATCTGTTTATCACATTCAAAGGTTCCAAGTCAGATCCTTTTTAATGACAAATTTTGAGTTTATCGTACTTATCATATCACTAATGATTTGTTTTGTGATTTGCAGTAATTATTAACTTTCTTAATTACAGTAATTAGAACGATAATTTAGGCTTTCTTGTTGTATCAATTGTACCATAGACAAGCTTTGCTTTTGTATCATTCAACTCTATTAACAAGTTTGCTCTTTGCATATAGACATATTATAAAAGAGATATGTTATGAATAATTAATTTTGATATTCACTTTTAATAGACCGATATATCCTTCATTTGATATAGAAAAAGTAAAAATAAATAAATAATCGCTCACATTTTTTAAATAATCATCAACAATCACTCATTCAATTTATCTTTTTTATTTTATTTATAATCTATAAAAGTTAAAAGGTACAAAGTGTATCTTTTTTATTGTCGCCCAACTTTCAAAAATGTAGATTTTGTCATTTTATTATTTGGTTGTCTAACTTGTTATTAGTTGACAATTAATGTGACAAATTGGTTATTAATATAGATTATTGACATGACATATAAATAATGACAGTCAATTTGTCACATTAACAATCGTATCATGTTAACATTTAATTAACAACATTAAACAGTTAACTAATATAAATAAATAAAAAATGCGAACTTTAAAAATTTAATAGCAAAATATGCAATTTTGAAAGTTTGATGTCTAAATTCGTGAAATGTAAAACATAAATGGCAAAAAAATACAATCATACAAGTCTAAAAAAATAAGAAGTTTCAGAACTGCTAGAGTTCGTTTAATAAGAGTTAGAGTAATATGCATGAGTTCATATGTTATAACCTTACTGCGACCATTATACACCAAAAAGAAGATTCAGAATGTTCGGTCTTTACCTCTATTTGATCACCAACATTAATCACGAGAGCATCAGGGATGATTGGAACTTTAAACCACTGGTCATCTTTGAGGACTTGGAGGCCTTCTACTTGTTTATCTTGTAACAGAAAAGTTATGGTGGATCCATCCGCATGAGGCCTCAGGCCAAGAACATGATCAGGCATTGGACATGGAGGGTAGTAATTGAATCTCAGAAACATAGCAGCTCTCTCACCACATTCATTTAGGAAGCTATCCTCTTCCAAGTTCAGTGACTTTGCCATGGCCTTAAGGATTACTTCAGTTAGCAGCCTTAGGCTTTCGGTATACTGTAGGACAGTACTCCTGCATTGAGACATCCATGAGATTAAATACAATGTAGATGTGCAATTGATAGAGGAGCGAATACTTGTGTCACCAGCCCAAGAGAAATGGAGGAAACTGTTTATTAATTTTCCAAATAATAATGCAATGCTAATTTAGATATAGGTGTAATTTGGCTAAACTTCTATGTATATTGTATTCATTAGAGAAGAAAATAAAGAGTTGAAAATTAAAATTAATAAATTTCTCCCCAGTTAAAAATAATTTATGCATCTTAATTTTTGAAGAAATTAGATGAAAGAACTTTTAAAAATAAGGTTAAGGTGTATAAGTTGATATTTAAGTAATGATCGAAATTTCATTCATTTGATGTTCTTGTCTTCTTTTACTGCAAGTAGTTATTGAAAATTCTATTCAAAGCTTTACTTTGTTCGTGTAATTAAATTTCGAAAACAGTAGAAATGTAGAATCATTTGGTGGAGTTATTAGTGTACTAGTTACTTGATAGTTGATACAAAAGAACATTCAGAGTTATGGAGAGTTAGAGGTGAGAAGCATGTATACCTGAAGTCATTGGGGTTTTGGGGCCAAAATTTGAAATTTCTCTGATCTTCAGGCAGCACCTTTAGGTATACTCTGTCAGTCCAATCAAGCCTATGTTTCTGTGAATATACTATATCGTTGCCATATCCTTCAACATTGTTTGGTTCCCTCGCACATTTTTTCTTTTCTTCCTTTGGAAGGTGAAAGAATTGCTTTCCAATTTCTCTCACTTTATTGAGAAATGAGCTTTCCATTCCATGGTTTATTACCTGAATCGTACAAGAAATAACTGAGTATATCACTAGGGGTTGGTCTACTCAAATATTTTTCTTTGAAGCTCTAAGATGATTTTATGAAATTTTATCAAAGAAAGCTAGTTAACCAAAATTATAAGGGGGTGCTTAATGGTGGATATAAAAATGAAGTAAGAGGCATGAGATTTATATATGAAGGGAGACCTGAAAGCAGCCCCATGAATGGAGTGCATGGTGAAGTTTAGCAAGCTCTTGTTGTGCTGTGGATGGAGATGAGAGGCGGTGGATGTCGACCACGGGAATATTCTCGTCCTGTGACGGCACAAGAGCATCACGAAATCCAGCACCACCTTCATCATACGTGTAATTTTTTGGCAGATTTTCAGGATTCAACACCAGCTCTTGGACAGGTTTACCTACTATCTCTACCTCACACCGTTTTGCCATCACTTCTCTACGAATAATACAAAAGTCAACTGAATCAAGTTGAATTGAATGGAAGATTTTGTACCACCTTGCCTCCACAGCCATGCCTTTATTATGTTTTCGGTTGTCGCTACAGTACAGAATCTTTGACTGTCGCTATTTTCTCACTAGGACACGTTTCTATAAAATAAAACTGACAAAATATAAAGAATATCACTTCTTTTCTTCAATTTACTTTTAAAATAAAAGCATCATTCTTTTAACACCATATCTTATTTTCAACCTACATCAAATCAAAGAAAAAATGAAATCTAAGGAGACAATGAATCCGACCCTATCCTATGAATACACGATTCTTGGGCCAGAGCTTTTGAACGATATTTCATGATGAGTGACACATGCATTAGTTTAATGTTCAGCGCCAAGTAATTTGAGGAACAATTTATAAAATCTAATGGATGGACGATTCGTGATGCACAACCTACAATGACATTCGCCAAAGTTTAGCCATTTAGATTGTTTGAATATATAATATTAAGTAAAATAAAATGAGATCGAATGAAAAATTTGTTTGATTATTTAGACATTCCATAAAAGTATTTTCATCACATACAATGAATTGGAGAAGGAAGAAAAAGAATTATCTTCTTTTAAATTAACTATATAATGAACTTGATATCATTTTATTCCATTTCATTTTAATTAATACGTGCATAACCTTAGTGCACCAGGCCGAGCCTAGTTTTAAAAATAAACAATCATTCAAAAATAAAACGACATTCCGTAAAATCTATCAGCCATTACCATAAACAATTGTAATGGACCAACAAAAAATATCCTCATCAGATAGCACAGTGCATACAATACAGTCTTACCAGTAGCAAAATCTATCAGTCATTACCATAAACAATTGTAATGGACCAACAAAAAACATCCTCATCAGATAGCACAGTGCATACAATACAGTCTTACCAGTAGCAAATTCTTATTCCTAACACAAGCCCAATATCAAAATATAAATGACCGATAAATTGGCATCATTGTCATGTCTCTAGCAAATTAAAAATAGTAAAGCCAAAACACATAAACTACCGAGAATCAACAATCACTGTGAGAATCAACAATCTGTCCTCATCATTAAATTATAGAGAAACATTAATATAACTGGTAACAAGTAAAATTTCCATCCATCAATACCTCCTGGGGTAGCGGTCCATAAACCGACCCGAAGGGCACTCATATGCCAGGTGACCACGGCCTCCGCAATTGTGGCAAATCATCAAGGGGCCCATGCAATCCCTACTCATGTGACCTAATTGCTGGCAGTTCCTGCATATAACATCTCGGTAACTACCACCACGAGCACCACCACCACCTCCACCGCCACCACCACCACCACCACTGCGGTCTCCGAGAACGTTGGCTTTCGGACACTGTCTAGCCACATGTCCAGAAACGTTACACAAGTTACAAATAGGATCATTAGGACAATCCCGTGCCAAGTGGCCTGTCTTTCGACAGTTGTTGCATGCCTTCTCATTCGTACATTCAGCTGCAATGTGGCCCTGCTTATAACAGTTGTTGCACAACCTTAAGTCCCCTGGAGGCATCGGAGGAGCTGTGCATTCCCTAGCACGGTGTCCAGCTTTACCACAGGTGTGGCAAATGCCCTCATTGGGACAATTGCTGGCCATGTGACCGGGTTCTTTACAGTTCCAGCACAGCGACTTTGTGGTACATTCAGAAGCAATGTGCCTGATTAAACATTCAAAACCAGAAATGTAAACCCTTGTTAGCAGATATTGTATAATTGACCATTTGACATCACAGACTTTTGATAAAAATAAATAAACAAACTATATTTTAAAACTCAGATTTGGAAGTTTTAAAAGTCAAACAACACACATTTCAGACTTAAACCTAACAAAGACCTGGTACCAATAATAATGAAATAAATGCTGGTCATATTTTGAGTAGCAGAGGCACCAATTGAATGATAGTCAAAAGGGCATCAGATTCAAAACTAAGAAGCTAATATTATGCCTTCAATTGAACAAGCAAAATGGCTTTCATCCACAGAAAACACGAATAAGATGGCACTAACGTCTAACATAGTTGCAGTATTAATTTGGACTCAAGTAATACAACAGACAGAAGTTAGAAACCATGGAATTTATAGATGCAATGGTGAGATGGAATCTAACAGGTGAATCAAGGAAAATCATACTAGTTTTTCTTTTAAATTTTTTCAGACAACATAATAGATACTCAGATGCTTCATGAAGGTTGCTCAGCTTCAATAACATACAGTAAAGAAATTCTTGAACCCTAGCCCTCTGCTATCCATGAAAAGTAGATAAATGTAGACAAAAGAACAGACTAAAATTGAGATACAGAAGCAAAAGCGCATTATTTATTAAAAAAAAATAGAAATGAGTAAAAGATGAATGATGATGAGTAAATTCCTCGAACTTAACCACATTCCAAATACAAGCCAAAAAAAAAAAAATTACAGTCAGGTAAACAAATTTCACAGCAAAAGATTCTTCGGAAGAAATGTAACTAAAGTATATTCATGCTAACTAGTATCTAAATATAAGGAAAGAAAATGTAACTGAAGTTGGAAATAGAATGGACATAATAGACCTGATAAATAACTTCAGGCATAAGAAACTGTATTAGATAAGCAGAATATTACATAAATAAATACTCGATTCTTAAGAGACAGAATGACTTCCATACCCAGGGAGGCCACAGTTGTGGCAAATTGCAACATTAGGGCATTCTCTTGCATAATGACCAGGCCTCTTGCAGTTCTTGCACAGATTGTCTCGGCTGACAAAAAAATCAAATTAGTGTTGTCACCAACAGAAATGAATGTTCGTGCTCCAAATGTCAAATGGCTTGGTGTAAATACAACCCTTCAGTTTGAGAGACAAAACATACAACTTATGTTCCAAACTAATCAAAGCAGCAGCCAGAGTGGAAGATTGCATACCACAAGAACAGAAGATAAATGGGTAATGCTTAGGGTTTTACAAACAGCTTAATAAAGATTCAACCCTCTTCTAGCAAAAGCATACTTCAATCTTCTTCGGGTTCCCTAACCAATACATTTAAATAGAAAAAGAAAACAACAAATAAATAGTTAAAATCCAAAAGAAAACCTGAAACCCCGACGTGAATCTCTCCTGTAAGGTGCTTCACGATAGGAAAATCGATCAGAACGGATCTTACGGTCCATTGGGCTCCTGCTCCTGCTTCTGCTCCTGCTGCGGCTGTCTGAACTCATTTTCAACTTTTTTTCTTTCCTACCCTCTACGACAACTGATCAGCAAAACCACCTCCACCACAACCAACAACACCAGCCACCGCCTCCTTCCTGTCCACATCACAACCAACATCCAATATCATCCTTAAGCCAACTAGCCAAGCCAAGCCCCCTACCTCCCCTTCAAAATATAAAAACCGCAAATTCCAACAGTATAGAACATGAAATTTCAACAAGCAAGCCATCTCACATCAATCAAATACCACTGCACTCAGCACCCAAAAATTGATAGCAAGCCCCTGGGCAGCTGGGCACCATTCTTCGTAATGTCCACGTGCTTCTCACAAACAATAATATTTCCAACATAAGATCACTCTACCTTTGAAAAAAACAATATAAAGGATATCACTCCATCCTTTCAGCAAAGCTAAGTAGCTAACCCAATAGAGTAGGTGGATAAAGCTAAATGTTGGTTCACAGTTCACATAGAATGTCCTCAGCAGGCATAGATTTTGTTTGGGGAATACTATTTTCCTTTCAGGAGAATTGAGGAGTAAAATAGAAAAAATGACCACTCGAAAAAAAGAAAGGAGACACATAGTGATAACCAGATACATCTTGCCAATGGAAAATACAGGTGCCTTTGAAATGAATACGTGTTCTTGAGCAGACTTTCCTTCATAAAAGAAGGCCATCTTAAAGTTGATTATGATTAGGTGTTATATAGGACCAGATTTAACCCCATTCAACATTACATCTACAGATAATTTGCACTGCCATATTTAAAGTGAAAAATGCACAAATCCTTCAATAGAAGGTCCAGATTGCTATGAAACAACTATCCCAACGACTTAATGTGTCAGATAAAAGCACATGAATGGTTCTGTCTAATACACCCCCTCAACCAAGAGCACTTTGGTCTTGAAGCGAGGACAATGCTCCATGCCCATCTTACCTTGTGCAAATATTTGAATTTTATTTAGAAGAATGGAGATGCCAAGTGACCACTGACCTGACTACATGGTCATAGAAGCTTTGATATTATGTCATCAATCAACAACTACAAGCACAAAAACTTAAGTTGTTTAAGTAAATGTACATGAATGGTTTTTAATCTAACATGATTTTCAAAAAAAAAAAACAATTCAAACCGATGGTGTGGCTATAGCAAGAACAGATTCAGTAACACTACTGAGAAAAAGGAACATTTTTTATTGCAACTAATGGGAGAATTTCCATTTTCCATTTTTGGACCATGTAATTGAGATGAGAATAGATTAAGAGTTTTAAGTTTTAACCATATATCGCGATATGTTTTTATGATGTATTGGGTACAATATATACTACAAATCACAAAAAAACTAATATATCATAAAAAGACCTATGATAATGTGAATCTGAGCGTGTTCATGTTTTGCAAAATGATTAGGAATTTAGGATGTTAGACCAAAGTATGATGTGCTCTATTATCTTGTTAAATTCTCTATTTTATATCAAATGACTATGCAGAAAATAACTTTGACATCCCAAGCGCACAGCGCACAGCGCACAGCGCACAGCGCACAGCGCACAGCGCACAGCGCACAGCGCACAGCGCACAGCGCACAGCGCACAGCGCACAGCGCACAGCGCACAGCGCACAGCGCACAGCGCACAGCGCACAGCGCACAGCGCACAGCGCACAGCGCACAGCGCACAGCGCACAGCGCACAGCGCACAGCGCACAGCGCACAGCGCACAGCGCACAGCGCACAGCGCACAGCGCACAGCGCACAGCGCACAGCGCACAGCGCACAGCGCACAGCGCACAGCGCACAGCGCACAGCGCACAGCGCACAGCGCACAGCGCACAGCGCACAGCGCACAGCGCACAGCGCACAGCGCACAGCGCACAGCGCACAGCGCACAGCGCACAGCGCACAGCGCACAGCGCACAGCGCACAGCGCACAGCGCACAGCGCACAGCGCACAGCGCACAGCGCACAGCGCACAGCGCACAGCGCACAGCGCACAGCGCACAGCGCACAGCGCACAGCGCACAGCGCACAGCGCACACAGCACACAGCACACAGCACACAGCACACAGCACACAGCACACAGCACACAGCACACAGCACACAGCACACAGCACACAGCACACAGCACACAGCACACAGCACACAGCACACAGCACACAGCACACAGCACACAGCACACAGCACACAGCACACAGCACACAGCACACAGCACACAGCACACAGCACACAGCACACAGCACACAGCACACAGCACACAGCACACAGCACACAGCACACAGCACACAAACTTGTCCTTTGCTTATTCCAAGCAGTTCTTGTGCAAGTATCAGAGGATATATCCTAATCCTAATTAACTGAACTTGGTTCAAGTTCTGAACCAAAAAACAAAAAAGTTATTTCCATCTCAATATTTGTTCCATAAGTAAAATAGCTTCCTTGAATATTACTTCACAATTTGTACAATCCACCACAGATAATAAAATATTTCTCAGACAAAAACATTAATTCACAAACTGAAATCACGCAATAGGTAGACCAGTTCACACTGGGCGAGAAGCAAAACCAACACCCGATGCAAGGCTGTTTTTCAAATTGTTCAATCTTGCGCATAGAAACCGTAGATCCTTTTTCGTTAACCATCACCAAGGAAACACAGATCAAACGTACACAAATCCGCCACGTCCCAACCTAGGGTAAATTACAGATTCGGAATCGGAACACTGAGAAGACCCGAGAACGTTTGACACCATAGGGAATCAAGGTAATTTGAAACCCCAAACGTCGATATTGGAAAATGAGAGGAATATGAAAAAATCGTACACAAATAGACAAGAATGTGAATCCAATAGAAACCCTAACCCTAATATAGAGTCGCACCGAAATGAAACAAAATTATAAAACATAAGGGAATGGTTAAAGGAAGAACCTGAGCACTACGGCGGAAACGCTTAACGAATTGGGCAGTTCATGAAAAAGGGGTGTAGATGTAACGAGATTTTTTTGGCAGCAGAGCAGCCGCAAGGTTTTTTTTTTTTGTTCTCTGTTGAAGAAACGAGGGTTATAATTATATATACTGTCGTGTCAATCACAAACAAGGAAAGCCTCCTCTTTTCCTTAATCACTGCTTTTGGTGAAAAAATAAAGAAAAATTCTTCATCCTCGCTAAATTACCCGAAATATATTCCGAAAGTTTAGAAAATTAACTTAAATTATAAAATATTAAATTAAATAATTATTTAATAATAAATTTATTATAAAATATTAATATTTTAAAATTTTGGACCGTATTGCCGTTTCATATTCGGAAGATATAACAATCCTAAAAAAAAAAGAAAATCTGTTAATTTTATGAATAAATAGTTTATGTGTTTAAAATTTTTACACTATTTTATAATAATGCACTTAAGTTATATAATGAATATTTAATAATAATGCACTTAAATTGTTGATGATAGATTTATATATAATGAATAATGTTCTTAGTTTAATTGTTGATGATAAATTTATATAGAGCATTTTATAAGTTACTCACATATATGTATATATATATATATAACAAAAATATAGGTGATTGTTTCTTTTTACATATTTTTTTATAACTCTTTCTAATCACTTAAATAAATTTTATTTTTAAAAATTAGTTTACTTCATAAGTAATCTCTTTGTATCTTTAATAATTATTTATTATTATATAATTTTTATTATTTATTATTATAAAAAATAATTTCCAAAAGCACGAAATGTCTCTTATATGTCCGCATGTAAAAAAAAATTTTAAATAAAATTTTTAAGCCAAGTTGTTTGTTTACTTAATAACTTTATGAGCATAAGCCATGGTTCTATTATGTATGATTATATTTGCAATAAAAATCATAAATTAGGTTGAAACTAACTGTTAGCTAATAATTTTATAACCGGACATTTACTACTGTCTAATATTAAATATTGAATATTTAAAAATAACTTATTTTTTTACTAGTGATGAAAAATTTTCAACTTTAAAATAAATATTTAAAATAATTTTTTTACACAGTATTATTAAAATAAAAAATTAAATACAACAAATTTGAATTACTTTACCTAACCAAAGTGAATTGGTCTCTCACACCTCTCTTATATACTCAAATTCTCATTTTTAATTTGATGCGGAGCTTTTATGCTCATTGTTATTTTAACAGTTCTCTTTTAAATGTAAGTTTTCATACAAAGTAGGTAGGAAATGAGAATAGAATGAATTGGATCTTAAATAATAGTTTATAGCATAACCTATTTAAAGTTCAGTCTATCTGATTTATTTAATATAAAAAAAGTTAAATTTAAACTTTTAAAAAATATATTTATTTAAATGAATTAGGTTTAGTTTTTTAAAAAAAATATAGGTTTGATACATCAACTTATTTATCTAAATAATATATTAAAAAAATATATTACATTTTCAATAATATAATCAAATAAATAAAATTATAATATAAAAAAGTTACATTATTACTATTATTTATATTTTCACTAAATTAAACTTGTATATTCTCTGTTCACGAAATCAAGAAATATAAAATATAAAATCTAGCGATCGTATTGTTATTCACTTTTTTCCCTTGTTTTCGTGATTGTTTATTTAGAATAATTTTAACTAAGATACATAAAATATTTTAAAAGTTTTTTTTATATAAAATTATCTTCTTTCATGTACACAAGTGTGTATAAGATGTATAATATTTTTGAAGGGTTGATTATGATCAGTTTTTTTTAATGTACATGTCAATGTAGGTTGCTTTTTTTGAAAATCCATTACCTTTTTTTATTATACGTTTTTATAGGGTATATTTCTCTTTTGACAGATAGTGATACATTATGGTATATTGTTATCAATTTATTTCTAGGTGACGAAGATATTTATCTTTTTACATGTTGTGTAAATGATTTATTGTACATTATATTTTTCATACATTTTTGCATTTTACACTTTCATGTACGAATACAAATTATAAATTTCGTAAGTGACACTATTCCTTTTAAAAAATATTCAAAAAGAATTATTGGACTTATTATATTTTTAACTTAATTAATTAAATTATTTTCATAAATCAAAATTAATATATATATATATATATATATATTTTGATTAAAGGGTTATATCTCACTTATTCTCATTGTTAACATTAAAGGTATAATGTATATGTCATTATCATTATTTACGTGTTAATCAATTTTTTTTTTGTTCTTCAAGATATTTATTTACTCGTTACTGTAACATTTCTCTCTAAATGTGAGTTTCTTCTATATATTGTATAAAGTATAATTTTCATTAACATTTATTTGTAATTTTATCATTACTATTTCACATCAAAGAGACATGTCTCGTTACTTTTACATTGTTGTATAAAAAAAATTAGTTGCACTATTGACTTCAATAAAATTTATGATGAAAGTAGAAAACAATTAAAAGCATTAATATTGAGACTATTAAAACAATTATACATCATATATCTACCATAAAGGTATTAGATGTATTTGTCATTGTTAATTATAAGTTTTTTGACCTTTACATTCTTATACAATTTTAATGAAGGAGATTCAAATTAGGTAGTAACGAGAAAGGTAGATAATTTTTTAATGAGAAAAATTATCATTCAAAATACACTAAAATATAAATAACTTGATTATCTTTAAACTATTGTTTAATTTTAACAAAATTTGATATAAATATACAAGAAGATATGATGTTATAATCCAATAGTTAGATTGACAAAATTCATATTTAATATAAAGTCTTTGAAAGTGATATGGGTGGTCCAAGTGGTTTGGAGAGAGGGATATAGGGTTGACTGACTAAGAGAGTGTGGGTTCGAATCTTCCCACTAACAAACTAACCATTAACATTTGATGTTCAAAAAAAAATGTATATAATTAATAAAAACTACATTGATATTATTGAGTTAAATCTTAAATCCTTACATAATTTTTATTATTTTTTTATTTTTAAAACTTTCACAAAGACACAGGTGCCTTTTTAAGTTGAATGTCATTATGCAAACACGTTTTTTTCTTTTTTTTATTTCACTTTCAACCCTTGTCTCTCCCTTGTCAAGTATTGTAACATCGTCTCTTTACCCCCTTCTATGACTGTACATATTAGTTGTCACTTTTCTCAAGCCTTATGCAGCTTAAAGTGTGCATTTCTCGTTGATACAGTTGCACTAGTAAATTACTTTTTATTTTATTCATAAATTGCATTAGTTGTTTGTTTGATTTGGATAGTGTGAATGTATTGTAAAGAGCAGTTATCAAACTGACTATGAGTTGCTAACTTTAGTTTACTAAACTATAGTTAGTGAATCCAACAAAATTAGCCAAAGAACTAGCTTCCCTTACCTCGGTACGAAGAATCCGAGCTCCGAGAAGAATTAAAAGCTTGAAAGAAAGAAGAGAGCTCAACGGAGAAGAGAATGGAGAAGGAATTCGTCTTCCGGCTAGCTCCACACGGCTTGTGTTTGAGCCCATTTATTTACTCAAACCTAATCCCTTAGAGCAAGAGCCTAGGTGCAGTTAATGAATATCAATTCCTTGAGTATCCAATATACATACACCTGCATTATAGGTTAGGGTTTAAGACTACTAATGGGCCAAACTCCATTCCTAGATACATAGCTTATGGATAAGCTCCAAAGACTCCAACAAAAAAACATGAGTGTGGAGGAATATAGACAAAAAATGGAGTTGTACTTGATGAGGGTTGGAATAAAGGAAGAAGAAAGATTGACCATTGCAAGATTCTTGAGTGGTCTAAATTTTGATATAAGAGATAGAGTTGAGTTACTCCCTTATAGGGACCTTGATGATTTGGTCCAACTTTATATAAGGGTGGAACAACAACATTTGAGAAGAACTTCTTTTAAAAAGGATAAAATTCAATCTAGCTCTTATATTAAGAAAGACTACAAGAGGGAGGGAAATTTTTCAAAATATGATAACAAAGAACCCTCCAAGAATTTTGCAAAGGAAAAAGAAAAAGGCAAGAACACTATCACTTTAAGTAGTAAAACTAGTGACATTAAATGCTTTAAATGTCTTGGAAGAGGCCATATAATTTCTCAATGTCATAACAAGAAAGTCATGATTTTAAAAGGACAAGACATTTATAGTAGTCGATAAATCTAGTTCTAGTTCTTCAAGTAAAAATGAGTCTAGTGATGATGACCATCAAGTTGAAGATGCCTATCCTTATGATAGTCAACTATTGATGATTAGGAGGCTTCTAGGAAGTCAACCTAGTGATCCACATATCTCACAAAGAGAGAACATCTTTCACACAAGATGAACTCTTATGTAATCTTCACGTTATATGATGTTTCATTCATTGTTGTGTTATGTTTCTATTCTTAATGCTTACTTTGGATTGATTCTCCTTTGCTTGATATAGAGTCCATTGGGTATTGGAAAATAACCTTTGAAACTAGCTCTGAAACAAATGCCTAGTGGGAAATGTATCTAGGAATGGAGTTTGGCCCATTAGTAGTCTTAAACCCTAACCAAATCAGCCACTCACTGAGTTTATGAACTCATTTCCAACAAAATTAGCCAAAGAACTAGCTTCCCTTACCTCGGTACGAAGAATCCGAGCTCCGAGAAGAATTAAAAGCTTGAAAGAAAGAAGAGAGCTCAACGGAGAAGAGAATGGAGAAGGAATTCGTCTTCCGGCTAGCTCCACACGGCTTGTGTTTGAGAATTTGAATCTCTAGGAGTCCATAACTTCAACTATAGAGAGGAATGAAGTTTGAGAGTGTAAGGGAAAAGAGAGAAAGAAAAGTGAGGGAGATGAGAGAATGAAAGAAAGGCAGCGGGTCTCACAACCTCCCCAACAACAAGAGTTTTCGTCCCCGAAAACAGACTTAGTTGGGAATAAACTCGGATACCGCTCCCTGCACTACTGCTCCACCTCCCAAGTAGCCTCACCCGTAGCTGCATCCCACAAAACCTTCACCAAAGCAATGGTCTTGCCCCTCAGCTCCTTAAGCTTATGATCCACCACTGCTACCGACAACTTTTCAAACGTCAGATTCTCCTTCACCCGCACATCATCCAGCTCCACCACATGACCAGGGTCATGAACATACTTCCTCAGTTGAGACACATGAAATACATCGTGTAGGTTTAAAAGAGACGGTGGCAAAGCCAACCGATAAGAAACCGAACCCACACACTATATGATCTGATAGGGACCAACAAACCTCGGTGTCAACTTCCTACACCAGAAGTCGGGGTCACCTTCAGAAACACATATTCCCCTTCAGCAAACTCCAAAGGCTTTCGCCTTTTATCAGCATACGATTTCTGCCTACTCTGAGCAGTCTTCATCCTCTCCTGAATCAGCTTCACCTTCTTAGTAGTCTGTAGGATCAACTCCGGTCCCACAACCATTGACTCACCATTTTGATACCAGCACAGAGGAGTCCTACATCTTCTGTCATACAAGAGTACAGTCTCTCCAGACCTTTCCCTCACGGCTTTGTCGTATACCGGATTGGGATGTGAGTATAGTCTCTCCAGACCTTTCCCTCATGGCTTTGTCGTATACCGGTTGCGATGCGAGTACAGTCTCTCCAGACCTTTGTTGTATTTTGAGGAACTTGTCGGTGACCTCATTGGTTTGCTTGGATTTTGGTAGATATTGCCCCAAGGATGTTGGGCAGGAGGTGTGTCGTGATGCCTCTAAGACAGGTTCCAGACTATACCTTTCTTAAAACCTTTGGATGTGCATGCTTTCCTCTTCTGAGACCATACAGTAAACACAAGTTAGATTTTAGATCTCATGAGTGTGTATTCTTAAGGTACTCTACCTCTCATAAAGGCTATAAATGTCTTTCTCCTACAGGAAAAATTTTTATCTCCAAAGATGTTGTATTCAATGAGTATCGTTTTCCTTATCATGAGTTGTTTCCCTCATCCGTAACTCAATCATCACATACATTATCTAGCTCTCAAACTGAGGTATCCACTTCCATTCCAATTGTTCAACCTCTGTCTCCACAACTCACTGTACACAATTCTACTCCCTCCACTGATCCTATTTGTTCTTCACCTAACACTTTGTCTACCAACTCAACTTCATCTCTGTCCAACACTGATCCACAGTCTACTTCTCCTGTCCAGTCACAGAATGTTCACCCTATGCAAACTAGATCTAAATCTGGCATTCACAAACCCAAATATCCCTCTGTTCTTCTTGCTCAATCTGAACCAAAGAATGTTAAGCAAGCCTTAAAGGATCCTAAATGGCTTGAAGCCATGAAAAAGGAATATTCTGCTCTTCTTAAAAATAATACGTGGACTCTTGTACAGTTACCTCCTGACAGAAATGCCATTGGCTGCAAGTGGGTTTTCAGAATTAAAGAAAATTCTGATGGGTCTGTAAACAGATATAAAGCCAGATTAGTGGCTAAGGGCTTTCTTCAGCAACCAGGTTTTGATTTTAATGAGACTTTTTCACCAGTCATCAAACCTGTTACCATCAGATTGATCCTCACTCTAGCTATCTCAAATCATTGGGACATTCATCAGTTAGATGTAAACAATGCCTTTTTAAATGGCTCACTAAATGAAACTGTTTATATGCAACAACCTCCTGGATTTGAAGTTCCTGATTCTACTCTTGTTTGCAAATCAAACAAGGCACTATATGGTTTAAAACAGGCTCCACGTCAATGGTTTGAGAGACTACAATATACTTTACTACAGTTTGGATTTAAGGCCAACAAGTGTGATCCTTCTCTGTTTACATATCACGTGCAATCTAATATTGTCTATCTTCTTGTATATGTTGATGACATTATAATTACAGGGAATTCTTCTCAGTTCACTCAGCAACTTATAGATCAGCTTAATTCCATTTTTTCCCTCAAACAACTTGGCAAGCTGGACTACTTCTTGGGAATAGAAGTCAGACACTTACAAAATGGATCCGTTCTTCTCACACAAAGTAAATACATCAGAGATTTGCTTCAAAGAACTAATATGCTTGAAGCCAATGCTATTTCATCTCCTATGGTGTCATCCTGCAAGTTATCCAAACATGGTTCAGACACTCTAGCTGATTCTACATTCTACAGATCAGTTGTTGGAGCACTTCAATATGCAACCATAACCAGACCTGAGCTTAGTTTTGCTGTCAACAAAGTTTGTCAATTTATGGCTCATCCTCTTGAAAGTCATTGGAATGCAGTCAAGAGAATTTTAAGGTATCTTAAGGGTACAATGTTCTATGGTCTACATCTTCAACCAGCTCGTGTTCATCAACCCTTTTCACTGTATGCATATTGTGATGCTGATTGGGCAGCTGACCCTGATGACAGAAGATCAACATCTGGTGCAGCTATTTTTCTTGGTCCCAATCTGATTTCGTGGTGGTCTCGGAAACAACCTGTCGTGGCTAGATCAAGTACAGAGGCTGAGTACAGAAGCTTAGCTCAAGCTACTTCTGAAGTTCTATGGATTCAAACTCTACTTCATGAATTAAGGGTTCCTTTTTCCACTCCTACAATCTACTGTGATAATCAAAGCACGGTGTCTCTTGCTCACAATCCGGTTCTACATTCAAGAACAAAGCATATGGAGATTAATCTTTTCTTTGTGAGAGAAAAAGTTCTTGCCAATCAACTCACTGTTCAACATATTCCTGCCTCAGATCAATGGGCTGATGCTCTCACCAAGCCTCTTTCTTCTACCAGATTTTTAATTTTGAGAGACAAACTTAAAGTTGTTGAGCTTCCCTTTTCTTCTCACCCAACTTAAGTTTGTGGGGGGGTGTGTGAATGTATTGTAAAGAGCAGTTATCAAACTGACTCTGAGTTGCTAACTTTAGTTTACTAAACTATAGTTAGTGAATACTTAGTTGTATTATATATAGTGTTCTACATATTGTAAACAGAGCAGTTTTCATATAATAAAATTCAGTTACAAATCTGTTACTCTGGATCTTCGTTTCTCTCTCTTTTCTTACAGACAGTGACAAAATTTTATTGTCATAGGTAAGGGGGTTAAAGGTAAAACGAATTTCGTCCAAACAAATCGAGGGCATAACTATTGTCTTTGTCGAAGTTCTAAATGTTAGCTTGGAAACTGTTACCAATTCTTTTGATTCAAATCCATAAATGCAAAAGGTGAGAGGTTTTCTTTTTCATTTTGTTTCAAGATACCTAAATTAAGTGTTACATTTTCAAAATGACTCACTTAGAGCAAGCACGAAATTGCTCAGAGGACACCTCCAATATTAGCTCCTTCAGCATTGGCTCTTCCTCCTTGTATCTTAAAATTAATAAAAGTTATTAAAAATACCAAAAGACTAAAAGAACTTAGCATACTAATTTTTTTTTGACAAAAATAAGACTATAAAATTGTCTAACTTAAATAAAAAGATATTGACATATTTAATGATTACCAATTTCTATATTTTTAATGGGTCTCTCACTAACAAGTTTATGTTATTATCTTGATTTATCTTTTTTTAGTATATCGATAATGGTACGATATTAACTGTATTATAATGAAAAATTTTAAGAGAGTAGTTTTTTTAAGAATTTAAAATGCTTTGGGTACGATTTTTTTTGCATGTTACTAATAATAATTAGGGTGTGATTTTTCTTAATAAATAAAGTCCAACCATTGTTAAAAAAACATTACTTTTTATAAGGACACAATTTTTCTATTATTTTGATTAATTTTATAAAAATCTCATATCAAATTAGCCATAGACCCAAAAATATGTTAAATTAGTTAGTTATGTAAACAATATAAAGCAAAATTCATGAGAGTTTTGTACTCTTTAAGTTTTGAACTTCCACAAATTTGATTCTTAGAGCAACTTTGCCTATGAAACTCCATAAGTAAATATAGACAAATTAGTCATAGTTTCAAAATGGCAATGTTTAATTCAGGCATCATAAACATAAGAAAAAGAAAAAGGAAATTATCTTTTAATTTTTTTATTTTTAATTAAATTTTAATATTTTTAAAATAAATCATAAAAATAATATTATGTCATAATAGAAAATATATATTACAAATTTAAAATACAATTATATCCATTTAAAAATATATATTTATACAAATTTTAAATATTTATCTGTATATAAATTTTATTGTAAATTTAGTTAGATATAATATATATCTAAATACTAAATTTGTTAAAATTGATATATATATATATATATATATATAATAAATATAAAAAGAAAAATAAAATAAAGTCAAGTTTTTGTGTTTATGTTTGGATATTAACTTAAAATTATATTCAATAAAAAAAAATTTTGATGCAAAAATTAAAAATTTATAAGTATATTTGTTTTAATCCTAATTAATTTTTAAATCAACTGATTTCTAAATAGACTTTCAAAAACAACAATGCATAATCACATAAAAAATCACCCGAATCAATCATCGTCCACTTTTAATCTTTGAATTGATTGAAAATGTGAATGTAAAGGTGAACCAATATTATATCTATTATTATTATTATTATTATTATTATTATTTATGTCAAATCATTTTAATTATAATTATGAGTAGAATTGAGGAATTTTATGTCTTTATTAAAAATAAAATAAAAATAAAAATTAAATAATAAATATATATTGGTCTAACCGATATTATGATTAGTTTATTAGTTTCATGTTCTTAAATTTGATTAAAATTATTTTTTTTTCTAATTTTTTAAAATATAAAGATATAATGATTAATAAAATGTGGAGATTAAGTAGTTATTAAAATAAAGTATCCCTTCTCTCTCTCATCTTTTTTAATTTTTACTAGTGGAGTCGAGACACTTTATACCTCTATTAAAAATAAAATAAAAATAAAATTTAAATAATAAAAATATATTAATCTAATTGGTGTTACGATTAATCCATTAATTTTAAGTTCTTAAATTTGATAAAAAATATTTTTAAATTTTTTTAAAATAGAAAGATAGAATGGTAAAAAAAAATGTGAAACCTAATTAATTACTAAAAAGGTATTCACTTTATATATATTAGGAGATATGGTTGCTTATAAGTAACTCACTTGCCACATTAATATTTTTTTCTCTTTTTCTTAAGCAACAGAATTTTTATAAGTAACTTGCTAAAATTTAAAAAACCTATTTTAACACTTAAATAATAAAAAAAATGATGTGACACAGTGGTTCGCATATGGCCTTAGTATAGATTTTCTTTTTACCTATTTTAATTAATTATTAAATTATATATATACACAGACGAAAGTCGCGGTGAAAGGCGTTTGGGGCAAGCAAAGTTGGACAAGAAGAAGGCGTTTGATTCCTTCTTTTGTCTCTCCGTTTTCTTATAACTCTCTGTCCAATTTTCGCTGTTTGCATTTGTTGATTGGATTGAATGGCTTTATGCAAAACTGTTCTTCATTTCTGTTCCAATACTCGTTTCGCTGCTTTACTCCCTTCAACGAGGTCGCATAGTAGCCGCTACTATTCGCACGCCTTGAACTCCAACTTGAAGCGCGCATTCCTCGTCGATACACTTGCGCTGGTAAATTACTTTTTTCTTTGCTTGTTTTAGTTGCGTGTTTGGATGGTGACATAATTTGGTTGCCCTAGGTAAGGGGGTTAGAAGCAAAAGGAGTCCCGTCCAAACAGGCCGAGGCCATAACTGCTGCCATCACCGAAGTTCTAAATGATAGCTTGGAAAATGTGGCCAATTCTTTTGTTTCAAAATCAGAAATGCAGAAGGTGATGAGTTTTTTTTTTCTTGTTTCGAGATGCTTCAATTAACCTCTAGTATTTGGAAACAATTATTGATTTGCTTGTGTTTACCTATGGATTTTCGCAGTCAGAGATGCTCCAAGAAGCGAATCTCTCCAAGTTCAAAACAGAAGTGCAAAGTTCTCAGGTGTTTTGTTTTATAAATATATATTTCTTCCGAAGCAGATTTCGCTTTCAGTCAGGTCTTTGATTAGCTATAGCGATTGTGGATTTTAATTCATGTATATATACTATAGCAATTGGTTTTCCAACGGAAAAGGTTTGCCAGTGAGTAGTGAGAATAGATGTTCAGCAATATGTAGTGAATCCATAGGATCAGGAATATCAGGAGATTGGAGGAATTTATATTGCACAAAAAATTGTGCTGCCCTTGGAACTTGGAACCATTATAACATGAAGGGTTCTTTTAAAGGAATATCAGTCACTCATTAAGGAATAAAAAAAATAGAATGTTTGATGATTGAAAGGTATAATATCAAATTAATACCTTTTAGTTTTTGAATCTTGAACAAGTGTTTTAGCTTCTAAGCACCGAATAGCATTTGCCAAACTCAAATTGTCAAGTTTACTTCTTTTCAGCTATGCAATATCTTTGAAGTTGAGATTTGGTCTGCAATAACTAAAAAGTCTAAAACACAGAATAATTACTTGTTATTTATGCAACAGACTTTTTTTATTTTGTAATAGGATCTGTAAGTGATGGTGTACTTCAGGAATTCCCATTTTATTGTATTTCAAAGAGAAGAAGGTTTAGGATAAGGATGGGATGCTGAGGTTTGACATATTGGGCAGACAACTTAATATCTCAAACTGTGGGGTCTGGGGTGGTTAATAAAGCACTCTTGTCTGTGAGGAGGTTATTTACACTGTCAATTTATAGAATTTTGTAAACGAAATGCCTTGGCCATAATGCATTGTGTATCACTGTATGTTAATATTGGAAAACACTTAGAAATCTGCTAAGGCATTTGTTGCTTGCATCTCCTTTTTTATTTTGTTAAATATGCTAACCAAATAAACCATATACTAAATGGCACCTGAAAACATTTTTCAGATCTTAAGTATGTGGTAATAAGACACTTTTTATGTTTCTACCTTTATTAGTATGCATTTTTTCTTCCTAGTTCTTTCTGGAAGTTCTACTAACAAAATGTTTTAATAATGCACTAAAAACCTATAATTGCAAGTTTAAGATTTGAAAGTAAACTCTCTTATTTTAGTTTTGATAGTCATGTAATCAGATTTTGCAATCAAATCAACTTGTCCCGTTCTCTATTTTGGCTTTTCTTTTAACTTTGTTGTAATTACTATTTTCAAGAACATCTACCGAAGAATTAAGGTAATATGAGGAATTTAATTTAAGGGTGGTGTAAAATGTTGCTCTATTGTGTATTCAGTATTCAAAAGAATTATGACTACCTTAAACAGTAACCAAATTGTGGTCTAAACTTTAGACAGTGCTATGTTATATCATGCCGATAATGATATGAGGTCTCTCTTTCATTTTGTTCTTTGTTTGGGGTTGGAGGGAATGAGGGATTCATGCATGCAGGTAAGCAATGGGACAATCAATATCACTCTGCTAATAGCATTATATGAACACAATTAAGTGGGAAGGAGCCTAGTATTTAAATGGCACGTGCTATGTGTATACTTCGTTGCTACTTTCTTCCCAAATAAGTGTTAAATGTAGATGTGTTAAGTCTTATAAGATTGATTTATTTAAAGTCATTTGTATCTTTGTTGGTTCAGATGCAATGCTTGGAGTAAGGATTTGGAATTGATTCATTTAAAGTCATTTGTGTATTGTGGCGATCAATAGTTTTGTATTATTATTATTATATTTTTGGTAAAGATTAAGTATTGTAAATGTTACAAGTCATTGCTGCACCAATTCGTACAAGTCATCTTTTCCAATGATTGATGATACAGGAGCATCATTTTTCCCTGTTGCAACGTGAGACTGAAAAGCTTCTTGGTGACATAGAGAAGATGAGAAGTGAATTGAGGTCTGCACCATGCAGTATTAAACATAATTTTCCAATGGAAGCAAATTTGATTTTCACATCATCAAATAATGCTCCAATGTCTTAATTGATTATCTATGACAGGTATGAGATTGACAAAGTCACCGCTGGACAACGTCTGGACTTGAATCTTGAGAGAGGGTAAGTCATGATGTGTTTTGGAACAGATCCATTTTTGGGAAATAATCTCCCCCTCCCCCTCCTGAAAGTTTTCATGACACAAAGCTATTCAAGATTATTATTATCCTAAAATGAGTTGCACTAAACATAGTTCTATTATGTGACACTCTTAACATAATAATCTTTAGTTGGCTTAATCTAAAGTTATTGTCTCGTTATTTTTGTGAATCTAAGCACAGACGCATACGGGATGAACTTGCTAATCAGAGTGCTGAAACCAGCAATTTAACAAACAAACTTGATCGGGTGAGTTTATGATTATTTTAATGTTATCGGAGAGTGTTCAGTTTGGTCTAAAATGTTGAACTGGAATTTTGCTTTCAGGAAATTCATGAATTAAGAGCCCAATTAGAAGCTGCAAAGTATGATGTGATCAAATACTGCATAGGTACTCTTGTCTCCATATCTGCAGTGGGTCTCGCAGTAATCCGCATCATATTATAGTCTCTTTACTTTTTTTTTCCTTAATGTTCTTGTAATGATAAAAACACTCATTATTTCCATTACTAAAAATTAATAGTGTGTTTGAGTGAGATATTTTAAAAGATTAATTCATTTTTCTTGATGAATTTGAAATGTTTTGAAGTGAAATATTTTGTTTGAATAGAAAATTTACGAAGAAATTGAAATTTAAGTAGTTGTTAAATATTTTTAAAATTGTAGAATTTCAAATTCTTTTAAAAATTCTCAATTTAAAATTCTTCATATTTTTGTTCTGATCTCACTTATATGTCTTCTCTCTCTTATTTTTCTTACTTCTCTCTCCTCTTTTTTAATGTCGATATAAAAAATATTAATAGTTTTTTAAAATTATTAACTATTATATAATACTAAAAATATTTTTAAATTATTGAATATTAAAAAATTGGCTAATATGTATTATGTATATATGTGTGTGTAATATTTTTAGTCCTTGAGCTTTTGTCAATTTTCAGTTTTAATCCTAAACAAATTTTATTTGGTTTTAATTCTTAAAATTTTCTTTCATTAATAACAAGTTTTGACACTAGGGACCAAAATGCTTTTATGAGATGATCATTGATTAAAAATGAAAATTGACAAAATTTATGGACTGAAATTAGTAAAAAAAAATTGTTCAAAAACTAAAAGTGCAAATTTAAAAAAATTTAAGGACTAAAAATGTATTTAATCACACTCATATATTTATATATACATCATTTTTTGTTTATAGTAAAAACTAAATTGTGTTATCTAAATTAAGAATTTAAAATTTTAGAAATTTGAATTGATTTATCTAAACAAAATATTTAATAGATGATGAAAATTAAAATTTTAAGAATTTCAAATTCTTTGAATTTATAACATTCTCCATTTGTGTTGGTGTGGTGGGGGGTTGAAGTAGTACATACAAAGTCTTATATTCAAATTTTGATGTTATTATTATAATTTTGATGGATAAAAAAAAAATTTCCATCCAAATATAACATTAAGTTTCGATTGTAATATAATTTTGATAGAATTTAAAATTTCACGCTTTACTAAATGTGCAAGATACCCCTGCCCCCACTCTCAAATCAAAATGGTTTTTTTTTTGTTAAACAGCAAAATAGATATTATTCGTACCCAACAATCACAAGATGTGATCATTCACCATGAAAGCACGTAAGGAAAAAAATAGTGTCCCTATGACAGGCAACATGCACCAAGCCCCTCCTTTGCAATGTGCATGATATACTTGAAACAAACACTTCGACTGAATCATGCTTATTCACTTGGCAATTTGAGCACCGAAAGCTAAAGGATAATGGAAGGAATTGACACGTTATTGTTATTTATGGGATGCGAAAGGATGAACTAATTACTTAAAACTAACCCAAGTCATATCTATATTCAGCTTTCTAGAATGTTAGGTTAAACTCTTATAAGACCAAGAACAAATATATTGTTCAAGCTGTGACATTACATTACTTAACCACGGTGGCAAAGAATTTTCTCAAAAGGATCCACTTTGTTCGGTAGCCGTCATGTCCGTGTGTAAATTCGTTTGATTTTTCATTTTTTTTCCCCCAATTTTGAAAGTTTCACGATAGTCCATTTGATTGGTAATGAAAGGTGTTTCTCCTGTATATTAGGTAGTCCAACTTTTCACCATTAAAACGACTCGGTATTTTATTTAATCGTAAAATAACAAAAATGTATAAAATATTTTAAAAATAAAGTGTAACAAAATCATTTTTTTAAAATTATTTCATATATTTTTTCTTTGCAAATCTACAAAAATCAATAATAAATTACACCTTTATCACATTTCTGTTAATTATTGAATTGAATTTTTAAGATGACAAACTTGAACGATTGTAAAATTATGAAATGCAAGTAATCAAGACTAGAGAAATTAAAACTACATGTATATAAGCACCTAAACTAAAAATATAATGAAGTCTTTTGATTTTCTTTGTTTAGAGGGCATTGGTCATATTACAAAACTAGTACAAGGTAATTTTTATTACATTTTTGCTATTTATTGTATTGAAGGAAAGCTCCCCTGATAACAAAAAAAAAAGAAGTAACAAACTTTATTATAAATTAGTGAAAAAAAGGCACTTCATGATATCTTCTTTTAAATATACATGTTAATGGGATAATATGCGGTTATCAATAGTTTCACAAAAAAAAATTTATAAATTTTTTTTTTTGTTTCTTATTGTACAATTTATATAATATTTATGAAGGGGTAAGCTTATTACAAATAAGGTACAGACCAAAATAAAGAATCAACTTTATATATATACAGATATAAATCATTGTGAGAATATATTTGTAACACTAAGGGGGTGTTTAGTATACAATATATATTTTTTTTTATGTTTAAGAATTATGATTTTTGAGAATCATAAATTCCACAAATTATGATTCTTAGTAATCATAAAAATTTATTTGGTTAGTTATAAATATTTCTGAAAATATTTTTAAATATTATTTAAAAATAAATTTTTTTACTGAATTAAATAAACAAATAAAGGTAACATGATGCTTTTACTATACTAATTTTTTTTTACCTCAAAAAAATTAGTTTTTCACCTTTTTTATAGAAATTTTTTCATGAAAAACTTATGCAAAAACTATTAAAAAAAATGTTTTATAGAAATATTATCTCTTAAATAACAAACTAAACACGAGAAACTAATATTTTTTATGTTAAGTAAAAAAAATTCATGTACTAAACACCTTCTAAATTATATATTTTCAATTAATCTAACTCTTTTAAAGTGAGAAAATTACACTTTAAAAAATAAAGTGTAATAATAATGCTTAATTCAAAAATCAACGATTGATATTATAATTAATTTTAAAATTTATTTTTAAAAAGATATTTTTTATCACCAATCTTAATCATTAATTTTATAATTAATAATTATGAATGCAAGTACACCTCCTTAGATGAGGCAAAATCATTTTTAATTTTTTTAATTTCTTAACTATTTTCTTTGAAACAACCATAGCCTCCATTAACTAAAAAGAATGTCAACTAAGATTGGTTTAATGGATAAAGATTGGATTCATAAAAGCAATGCCAATAAAAGTTGGTTTGCTTATTAAGGATTGGATTTATATTTCACAAACAGATGAATTCAAATATTTTGAAGTCATGAGGCATGTGGTGACCCCGAAAAATTCCCAAGATTCAACTCACCGAAACATTTTCTAACAAAAATGAAATTAATTAAGAATAATTGTGTAACACCAATTCATACAATATTTTTTCTTTATCTTTTTCTACCATATCACTCGTCATATTCCATCTCCCCACTTATTGTTATATATATATTTTTTTTTACAAATATCATTATTTATTGAAAAATCCTCCATCATATATATATATATATATATATATTTGAGCTATCATTAAAATTTACAAAATTTATAAAACTTGTTAAATAAAAAATAAAAATCACACAATTTTATATTTTTAAAAAACCAATGAATAATAATAATAAAATATTAAAGAGTATATCGTTTGCATTTCTTAACCTTAATTTGTTTATCAATATTATTAATAAAAGTATTTTTCTTCTTTCTAGTACACGTTTTGATTAGATCATTTTGTCCTTTCTTATCATCTCAAGTCTTAACTTTTTTTTTTCTCATTTAAATAATATAAATGACAGATATTTGTGTCTTTTTTCTTGTAAACTTCTTTGGAAGCACTTCTAGAAACAAAAATAGAAAAAGGTGTTTTTTTTTTATAAATTAAAATTAACTTGTTCATAAATTATTTTTTAAAAACTCTCATATAACATTTTTTAAAAAAAATTATACGAATTAATACATATGAAAGAATTTATCCAACATTCTCTAAATAAAACTTATAGAAACGCCGGAAATTGGACTCTACTTTTTACAAACTTGGATCCTTTTTCTAATGATGGGCCATAAAATGGAAGGATTTTTTATCAATTGCCTAAGCCCTAAGGGTTTCCCCCCGGAAAAAAAGACTGTTTTCCATTTGAAGAAAAAATTAGAATAAGTGGCTTCTTTATGCTACTTTTAATGCTTTGTCTTGGCCTCCTAAAAAAACGAACCTTTTTATACAGGAAAAGAAGTGGTTCTTTTCTCCCCACTTTACACATTTGTCTTCATGTTGGTTCATCATTTACCTTCTTTTGTTCTGCATGTGGTTCTCCTTTTATTTCCAAGACCAAGTTTCTTTCGTGATCATATATATGGAACTGTATTAATTAATAGTTCATGTGATCACGAACCCCTCCAAGACTGTAATGTCATAAAATCCTAGCTTTCCGAGATAGCCAAAATTGTAGATCTCTCTCTACAAGAAAATTAAATAATGAGTTCTTTGCCCGTTGTTAATTGACCAACTTGAGTTAGAACTTAGAACTACTTTCATTACTACTTTGGTAAGACTCCATAAATTTACGTAATTAATAAGGTGCTCATCATATTTCAATACCATAAATGTTGGTTGAATTTCATATTTCCAAGATATTTTCCACTTTGTTAAAGTGGGATCCATCTATTAGCCTCAAAAGAAAAATAAACTAGCCCTGGGCCTAAGAGTTTGAGATTCATTTTATCAAAGTAAATATTTCATGCAAGTCTAAAATAAATTTACATTATCGGATAATTAGAAATGATAATGTATGCTAAATTTTTAAAAAATTTATAATAATTATTTTAAATTTATTCTAATTTGATTGGCTGAAAATCAAATTTTTAACGGATAGAAATTAAAGTTTTCAATAAAATGAGAAGAAATTAAGTCATGTAAAATACCAGTCATTTAGTTTATAAACTCCCACTCTAATAATAAAGAAAACATCTCATTTTAATTTACACATTTATTTTATTTATTTTGTCTTGTTTTATCCATATTTTGTCTTTTAATTACTATTACTATAATTCTATAAATGTAATTGCATAGTCTCTCTCTCTTTCAACCTCCTCCTTTTCCCTTTTTTATTTTATGTCTTCTTTTCAAAAGAATAAAAAAAAAAAGTGACTAGACAGGCAGATTGTGTCCGTCTTTTCACCCGTATATATAATTTAAAACAACAATTAATATACGTGTATATATACACTATTTTTGTTGAATTTATATTATTAAATTTCTATAAATAGACTCATTATTACATGATTTTTTATACATGAAATTAATAAAAATATATGTTATTATATTATTATTTTGGTCTAAACACTACTATTAGGTGATAAATTTTAAAGGTGTTAAGTTCATGCAATTGAAGCTAATTTTATTAATTGAATTATTCTCATACTTAAATCAAATCAAGTTTAAGTTAAAAATGGCTTGTATTAATCTTGAGTGAAGTTTCGAACCATTTTTTTATTTTTATCAAATTAAATCAAGTTGTTTCAAATTCGATACAACTCATTTCCGATTCTTGTTCTTCCATTGGAGTTTGGAAGCAAATGTAAATATAAAAAACAGTTGGACACAACATAATATAATATAATATAGTACTCTAATAACCTGTATACAGAATATGTAGTTGGCATGACGTGTACGCTATGTTAAAACGTAAAAATCAAAATGGTCGAAGCCCCTAACCAAGTCTTCTTGTTGGGTCTCTTGTAAGCAAGAAAACATAGAAATGTCCAAATATATATTGAGCCTAACGAGCCACCTAATGATCAAATATTGAGCGTTTCAATTTCCAAGTTATGAATAGTCTAGTGACATTAGTTTTATACGAGTAATATTAGTTATTCCTTTTTAGCAAAGAAAAAAAAAGGTTTAGTCATTTAATCAAAGTTAGACTTGGTCCTTATCCACCAAAAGTTTATGCGAGCCAATTGATGCACGCTACAAACTATTTCTACCACACTATCATTTGTTTATTATTGTTAAGGCTTTTCTACGAACTACAAATTATTTCAACCAAGTACTCGTTATTAGCTCAATGGATTTGCCAAATTTGGGATGATGAATATGCTTTTAGGGCTTTCCTAGCTGGAGCATATATTCCTTGCAAACCCTAGGTTCCCCTGCCATGATGCTCTTTGGGGCTTATGCATTTATTATAAACGCAATATCAATATGCACCATTGAATTTGGTTAGGTCTTTCCATAGTATATAAACTATATATGTATCCTAAAAAACATGAAGACAAAAGGATGCGTGGGCTTCATTTATCTTTTATTTCCATTGATCTATGTTCATTAATAGTTATCAAAATGTCATATTTTATTTAAAAAAAATTAACAATAAATATTGACAAATAAAATACATTTTTTTTTATAATTATAGGCAAAAATTAATAATGAAAAGTAAATGCATAAAATACAGATTCATTAAGGCACCCTGAATCTACCTCACCACCTCTTATAACTGTTTTTTTATCAAGTGTACAACAACAGCTATTATTTTTCTTATCATCATCTTATCACATGTACACTTGTGTCTCTGTATTATTATAATTCGGAGAAATCTGGCAAGAGTGGTGTGAAGTGATGTCCAAATAGAATGGACCAAGCTAGCTTTTTTTAATTTGGGTGGTTTCCACTTCCAAAGTCCAAAGATTCAGTACTAACAATGAATCCTGCGTCCTAGTCCATCCGATGCACGTTATTCATTGAATGGTTGTGGCTACCATCGACACTAGTTTATCCTATCCCACAAATAATTTCTTGCCCCACCACCAACTACTACTTCATCCACATGCACGCACGTTACATAGATTGCAATAAACAGACACTCCCTATAGCACTCAAAAACAATTGCCCACTGCTCTAGTATGATCCAAAAGGGGAACGCATGTTTCAGAAGGTGACTCAGATGACTCCTATTGACCCACTTTTTTTCAACGAAACAAGTCTTTTATTTATCACTCGAACACGATGGTAAAGATATGATGAACAAATCCAATCCACTTCACCACTCCATTTGGCAGTTGGCACTAACACAAACACCTTCAGTGGCCTCAATCAAATGAGTGCCATGCCACCCAACTTTTCAATGCTTCAATCACACTCCAAACTGCCTCTGACCCACCTCTCCCTCTCTCTCACGAAACCCAAAACGGACCGCTGAACTAAGTTGAACAATTCAATTTCAATTTTCAATTTTCAATTTTCAATTTTCAACCCAACGCGCTTCTCAGAGTGCAAAGTAAAATAAAATATTCAACTGCAAATGCCCAAAAATTTAAATTGTCTTCATAATAATTAAATAACTCTAATCCTCAAGTTAAGTTGAAAAAACTGTTTGTATTACATTAAATAAAATCATCAACGCTAGGAAAATGGGATACAACGTTACAAACAATCAATGCCTAATTCCTAATAATATCAGTTACTACCTGACCCTAGCTAGCTAGCACTAACTAAAACTAAAAAAAATACTAAATATCATACATAAACCGAACCGGTTCAAACCGGGTTTTGTATACCTAATCTGCAAATTTTTTTCTCTCTAATCTAGAAATATCAGCAGGTGAGAACCATTTGGGTCTGGGCCTGGGCTAAGGTGGCAGCCGGTCCAGCCTCCCCTTTCCTCTTCCGCATCTCCAACACTTTACGGTGACTATTGGAATGAATATCGCTGCGGAAAGTGGGGCTGCACGCCGGTCTATACTCCGAAAAGAGCCGACCCGACTTGTAGCGAACCCCGCACGCGTTGCAAAGGGTTTTGGGCCCTAGTGGGCCGGTCCTCCACTGCGGCGTCTTCTGCACCTGGCAGTGACTGCACCGCCGCTGAATCTGGGCCCCAACGGGTTGGGCCTCGGCCCGCTTCTTCTGCTTCTTAGCGGGCGGTTCCGTCACCGAAGACGAACACGAAGACGGCGAAGACGGGAGCGAGAGCAAGGGGCCCAACGTCGGCCACGCGCTAGGGTTTCTACTCCGTACGGTCCTGGCCTTGGTCCTGACTTTCATTTCCCACGGAAAACGAGGCGTTTTCTTCGCTGAAGCCTCCGGTTCAACCCACCGGTTCGCTTCCTCCGAACGAACCGGGTATAAAAGTGACAGCTCCGGGAGAGAATCGTCCACGAAGTGTGAAACCCACTCCAGGTCCTCCAAATCACCGGCCTGCACATATTTCAATCATTGTGACACCAAATTAGGGCAAAAACAAAAGGAACAAACGGAGAGAGAGAGTGTTACCGGAACGGCCAATTCGGTGGAGAAAAAGGAATCACACGAAACGCCGGTGGAATTGGAGTTGCTATCGTCTTCCCCGCGGTCCTGCGACTGCGACGAAACGGACACGCTTTCTGTTTCTTCGTTGTATTCTTCGCCGTTGGAGAAGTCGAGGAGGTCGTCGACGGAGAAGTCTTCGCCGGCGCCGGCGCCGCCGGCGTTGGCGTTGAGGCAGAAAATTTCCTCGCAGAGCGTTTGCTGAACGATGAACTCTCTCCTTAAACTCGGTTTCAAGGCTTTGTCGACTGCAACCTCCATTTCTAGGCAGAAATTAAAGCAACGGTGGGAAAATTTAGTCAAGTCCTGATAACAAAGGTGAATGAAGGAAGATTGTTGTATTAATTTATTAGTGTTATTGGTTAATTTGAATTTTAGTTACCTGTGATAAGAAGAAGAAGAAGAAGGAGAAGAAGAAGGCGCTGAGGAGTTTGAAGTTTGAAGTAACGAGAGAGATGGGAAGGAAAGAGCGAAATTGATGCTACTTATTTAATTTATGTTTCTTTCTCTCTTATCAGGATATCTCTTTTTTTCAATTTCAATTTAAATAAATATATACGCTGCTGAGTGCTGAGTACTAAATCTTCGTTGTGTTGTAGGCTTGTAGCAAGTGGGAAGCGTGTGACATTTTGTGTCACGTGGTGGTGGTGGTGGGCCTTTATTATTATTCTCATTTTTTATTTTTAAAATTTCCCTCGATGGCTCCGTTAAATTCGAAAATTCTGCCTTGGTCCAATGCAAGTAAATAAATACAAAAACGTTAAAATCCCACGCCGGTTTTGACTGTTACAAGGAGAGGCCGTAAACAGCGTGATTGGGTTTTCCGTTTGCACTTTGCAAGAGTGGAAACGAAGGAAATAATTGCTTGGCCGCGTGGTGACGTGGTTTGTTTTCCCACTGACGCACGTGAGATGGTCTTAAGTCTTAACTGTTTGGCGCGTGAACCTTATTGACTTTCAATTACATTCGTGTTTGGTGACCTCAACTTTACATTTCGAGCCTTTGCTCTTACTTCCACCTCGCATTCTTAGCTGTCATCCCAAACTAAACACTACATAAATATCCCTTTCTTTTCAATTAAGCCAAATACTATTACAATTTCTATTTATTACCCGGATATCAAAATTAATTGTCATTCCAAAGAAAAAAACAAAGATTCTTTCTTTTCATTTAAGGGAAATATTATTCAAATTTAATTTAAATAATGTTTTTCATTATAATTCTCTAATAATACAAATTCTTTTACATTTCCATATAAAATTTAGCTAAAGTAGTTTTAATATATTTATAAATATAAAACGACCTAAATGAATATATTTATATAGTGTTCTATATACAAAAAATTCTTAATTCAAGTAATTTAAGATCTATATTCTTTATCTAAGAGCTAATTTATAATAATAATATTTTAGATAAACTTAGTTTTGTTTTATTAATAAAATTCTAATTATATTTTTAGTTTCGATCATTATATTTTTTCATTTTGTGTATTTTATTATTAATATTAATCTTTGTGTTGTATCTTAAAACATTTTCAATCGTGCTTAAAATAAAGTAAAGCTAACGTATATTTAAGTAAACATGATACTTTTATGATGTTAACTAGAGAGAAGAGGCAATATGTGTCTCTACATTTTATCTGAAAAAACATAATAATAAAATTGCATAAAAATATATTCTTTAAATTATCTTATGTGTAAAAGAGTTAATTTTGTGTGTTGTTAAATTAGTTGAATGAAATAACTTTTTAAAATACATTTTTCATCTATTTTGGTAGGTTATATATGAGTAACCCACCGATCCATTATTTTATTGCTTTTATTTGTTGTAGGTTTTTAGCGAACCAATATGACCATTTTAAAATAAGGTTATTCAAAATAATTAAATTGGACAGAATTGAGATAATAATTCATATTGAATCAAATTGAAGCATGGTTCAAAAAAATTAAACCAAACTTTTTTTTTGGATCAACTATTTTTCAAATTCAAACTGAAATATGTTTTGAACATATTTGAACTATTTAAATTAAATTAAACTATTTTTTACATTGATATGCATGAGAAAATTTGAAGTAGAAGGTGATAAAAAAGAATTAAAGAAGTATTACTAGTCACCTATGTTACGTATATTTTATCAACAATACTTTATTATAAAACTTATATCACTAAATCAATAATCTCGGCTTTAAATATTCATAAATTTGTTACGAGTTTTTATCACTTTTAACCATCTTACTCTCTTTAAATATGACTAAAGATGGTTAAATAAGAAGTTATGTATACTATTAATAAAGGTAATATGTATTTTTATCATTGTTCTTTAACTTTTAAAATGTATTTTGTAATTTTTTTATAATTTAAAGAAAACTATTCAAAATCTTTCTCAAATTCTCTAATTATTAACTATTCCTACATATTTAACTTTTTCAATTTTTTAAAATTATTTTTAAACAAAATATACGAAAGTAGGAGATATTTTTTTAACGCTAATAAATATAAATTAGTTTCACACCATAATACAGAGGCAAAGCAGACGAGACAGAAGGAAGGAAAGTTAAAGAAAAGAATAAAACCCAATTATTGTATGAATAATTTTAATAATAATTGTAGTAATCATAAAGAAGTGTTTTGTTTCGAGTAACATACGCAACGCAAGTTATAAAAATGCATGGATTTATGTATGACTGTGAATTGTAAAGACTCGGAACTCGAGAGAGTGATGACATAGGCGAAAAACAGCCGAAATGAGACTTATTTTTTATTCTTTATTTTGTGATACAGTAGTGCATAGTGTTTGTCGATAACCAATTCTTATTTCAAAAGTCACAAGGTTTGGAGCCGAAAGCTGAAACCAGACTCCGCAGAAGAATTTGTAACGAACTAACGCGTGTAAGCAACCTGATACGTGGATGCTCCTCGACAATTTGGGAGTTCAATTATAAACTTTGCGGAGAAATTTTGTTTATTTTATTTTTCAACAATTATACTCTTTGTCTGAATTTTCGTTGTAGATTCTTTTTATTCTAGCTAACAAAATTTTAATTTAAATATGTATAACACGATAAGTTTTTACAATTTTTAATTGATGAATCGTATATACAATTGTTGGTACCGGAAAATGAATTCGGAAGCACTCGAAATACAGAGGCGCTTTAAATCTTAGGTGATCGGAAAATGGCAAAGAAGTTTCTGAGGAAGGACCCTGATGATACGATTTAAATTTACTACTTGTATGGCCGGTATACTTGCCATGTTTGAGTCCGTTGATAGAATAAAAATGATTTATAACAAAAACAGAAACTAATGTCAATGGAAATCTCAACATGTAGTTATAATTTATAATTTAAAAAATCATGTCATAATTGATAGTGATAATGAAATGTTGTCATAATTTATAATTAATAAAATAATTTTAAATTATAATTAATTAGAAGTTATTATTAACGATTAGTTTGTAATTAAGATATATTGATTATAATTTAATTTAGCAAATAATGAAAAAATATTTTATTCATCGATAACTTGACATTTTATTTTTATAATTATTTAACATCACTTTGTGCAATGTCTCATCTGATTTCTTTAGCATTGTACATTTCTTGCTCAAAGAAAAAAGAAGTTCGATCTCTTTAACATTGCACATTTCTTACTCAAAGAAAAAAGAAGTTTAGAAGACTTTAAAAGAGAAGAAAATAACATTAGATATTAGATAAAGACTAAAAAATTAAAATATAATTTATAATTAGAATGAAGAAAAATAAGAGGTAACCATTTAAATATCAACTACACGGAGTGAATGAAATCTGAGAAACAATGAATATTACCACCAATTACAACAGAATGCAATACGACACTCAAATTATTTTTATTTTGTTCAATTAAAATTATATAACAAAAAATTATGAAGATTATAAAATAAAATTTAAATAATTCTAAAAATATAGTTTCAAAAAGTAACTTTGAAACTCTTTTAAACAAATAAAAACATACAAATTAAAATAGTGAAGGAAATATGTAAAGATAAAGAAAATTTTCATTTCCATAATTCTCCCAAAGTTTGTAGTTCAACTTCATGCTTCTATCAAAGTATGTTGTTTAATTCCATGTGAGATCTGGTAGTGCGATGTTGTCTCATCCATTAGGGTTCATAGTGTTATCTCATTCATTAACAATCTATAATTTAGATCCATGAGAGTTTTGTGTAATGTTACCCCATCCATAGAGATCTCACAGTGCAAGGTTGCCTTATCCACCAAGAATTCCATACACAACGCTGCCTAATCCATAAGAAATTTGTGCAGTGTTACCCCATTCATAAAGATGTAACGGTGTAAGATTTCCCCATCCACCAAGAATTCCATACACAACGCTACCTTATCCATATAATAAGTTAATAAGACATTTATGAATAAGTTAAAAACGTCGAAAGAGAAAGAAAATAATAGAATAAAAATGAATGACCTCTTATCCTTATCGAGCACGATTTTAACATGAAGAGATTGATGTCGACATCACATTTAGCTAAGGTGAAGGCGGTGGAGAAGAGGAGGATATAAGGTGTTATATTGTGGAGGATGTAGTTGTTGAGGAAGAGGTGGAGCATGACAATGACAATGGTAGGGTTGTTAATCTATCCAAAAGAGAAAGAAAAACAAATAGAAATGCATGACCTCTTATCCTCATGGAGCATAGTCTTAGCAGGAAGAGGTTGATGTCGACATCGTGTTTGGTCAAGGTGAAGGCGATGGAGGAGAAGAGGACACGGGCATCATATGGGTTGAGGAAGAGGTGGAGTGTGATAGCGATAATGATAAGACTATACGCTGCTTAGGAGGCATATGAGAGGCTAGGTTTTCTGAAGTGCATTTGTAGCTAGGTTCTCGGAGTTGATGTGTAGTTAAGTTTACATAAATGGAGATATATTAGAAAAAGGAAGAGATCATAAAATGACATGTCAGCATTTTCGTTGACATGATAACATCTAATAAAGTTTATTTTAAAATGACGTATCGCGTAACATAGAGTAACTCGACTTTTATATTATAAATAATTTGCTTAGGAGGTGCATGAGCAACTAGGTTTTCTGAAGTGGATTTGTAGCTAGGTTTTTAGAAATGGATGTGTAGCTAAGTTTACATAAATGGAGATCATCACTTTGTGCAATGTCTCATCTGATTTCTTTAGCATTGTACATTTCTTGCTCAAAGAAAAAAGAAGTTCGATCTCTTTAACATTGCACATTTCTTACTCAAAGAAAAAAGAAGTTTAGAAGACTTTAAAAGAGAAGAAAATAACATTAGATATTAGATAAAGACTAAAAAATTAAAATATAATTTATAATTAGAATGAAGAAAAATAAGAGGTAACCATTTAAATATCAACTACACGGAGTGAATGAAATCTGAGAAACAATGAATATTACCACCAATTACAACAGAATGCAATACGACACTCAAATTATTTTTATTTTGTTCAATTAAAATTATATAACAAAAAATTATGAAGATTATAAAATAAAATTTAACAACATACATAATTAGTTATTCAGGG